CGATGATATGGATTTTTTTTTTCAATTGGCATTATCCTTCCAGCCGCCCTGGGGTCGAGTCAGCCTCTAACAGAAATGAGTACCAGAAATCTTTCTGGGAGGTAAAGGGCGGCCGGCGCGTAAGGCTGACAACCTTACCGCGATCTGTGAGCCGATTTTCTAGAAGATGTGGGAACCTCAACCTCTCACAACCCTATGGGCCTTCACGGCCTGTTACGGGGATAGATTTACCTTTTATGCTTTATGACTTTATATTTTGGAACGTTTACAGTTCGAATTTGAACTAGGAGACGGGTTATGCTCAGTTCTTTCCAAATTTTTCTTAGGTGTTCCAATTAAATTTCGGGGTAATGCTCTAATGTATAGTGACGACCGTTTCACCTACATCTCCCTGTAGTTTCTCTTTCTATTTATTACCTTTGCAGGTGAAACAAAGTCATAACAAACCTAGGAATAAAAGAAGACAGAAAACCAAACGCTCCTAGCTTAATTATTAAATGATGAAATAAAGCAACATCTAGGAGCTTAGTTTGTAGAGCTGTGGGCTGTAGTGGCAGTATCTCTATCAGTAAATCATAGGTCGCTGGTTCATATCCGGTCCGCAGGATACATTTTTGCGGCCTATTGATATGCGTTCAAATACAAGTATTAAAATAATGGCCAAACTGCGGAAGAAACTGTTTCTAAGGAGACATTGAAATGATATATCGTAGTCTGAAGTGTCGGCAGATTTGTATTTTCAGGTAATGTACGTGAATAACGAGAAAATATTTGCAGACATACTTACTTACTTACTTACTCATGGAGCTAAGCCCTTCTGGAGGAGCCGCCAATTGTGCGGCTACTCAAGAATTTCCCAGCATTTTATGGAACCCGAAAGTTCATTACCGTGTTCACAAGAGCCCTCCACTGGTCCATATCCTAAGCCAGTTCAATCCAATCAATCGCATCCTATCTCTATAAGATCCGTTTTTATATTGTCCACCCACCTACCCCTTGGTCTTCCCAGTGGTCTTTTTTCTTCTGTCTTTCCCACCAATATCCTATACGCATTCATCGTCTCCCCCATTTGTGCTACATGCCCTGCCCACCTCATCCTCCTTGACTTGATCATTCTAATTATACTTGGAGAAGAGCACAAGTTATGAAGCTCCTCATTATGCAGTTTTCTCCAACCTCCTGTCACTTCATCCCCCTTCGTTCCAAATACTCTCCTCAACACCCTATTCTCGAACACTCCCAGCCTATGTTCCTCCCTTAATGTCAGAGGCCATGTTTCATACCCATACGGAACCACAGGCAAAATTGCAGACATACAGATGTAGTAAATATGTAAATAAGGGTAAAAAGACAAAGTTTTCCACGCGCTTAATTAATTAAGCATCATGCCACGAAAACGTATGGGGGCGTAGAGGTGTAGTTCGAACATTCTTGATTTTGGAACTAGATGGATGTGAGTGGTCAGATTGAAGCCTCGGCCGCTTTATCCCCGGAGAAAGAGGCCCCGGTCCCCATTTGATAGGCTGAATGTGCCCCGCAGCCGATCTGGAGACGGTGGCGAAGACAACAATCTTGTCCTGCCGGTAATGGATCCCAGGTCGTCCAGCCTGTAGCCAATTTAGTAAATAAGAGCGTTTATTTTTTACCGCTACCATTTTAGGAAAAATTACATGCCTTTCTGTTTATAACATTGGTCATTCAGACCCCGGCATGACTGCATATGTAGCTTAGGAATATAAAATCGCATATCATGCGTTTGAAAATGAGTGTACTCAGCAATAGTGAAGTAAAAGTAAAGCTATCCCTGTAACTGACCGTGGAGGTCCATAGGGTTGTGAGATGTTGAGGTTCCCACATTTTCTAGACAATCGGCTCATAGATGGCGGCAAGGTTGTCAGCCCTACGCGCCGGCCGCCCTTTACCCCCAAGAATATTCCAAGAATATTCCTGGTACTTATTTCTGTTAGAGGCTGAGTCGACCCCAGGGCCATAGTGCTGCCGGAAGGATTGGGTCAGTTGAAAATAAATCCAGTGACCTCATCGGGACTTGAACCCGCGACCTTCCGGCTTGTAGCGTAGTGCCTCAACTAACTACTCTACCTCGTATAACGTACACAATTAATTTCTTCTTGGATTTCATGGATTGTGTTAAGACATATTGCGGAAAGCGATCATGACTTAATCTAAACAACATAATGAAATATCTATATATAGAGGTTCCTGTAAGAAGCCATGTAAAGCTTCAAAGCAGAGGACCTCAAGACAGGTTAAGTGGTGTTCCAGCCAAAATTTAAATTAGAGGTACCTTCAAGCAAGGGTATTAACAACACCACATGCATATTCAACGCATCGTTTCTTAACCTTCTAATAGAACAGTTTTACATTTTGAAAAGATAACGGGTGATTTTCGGAAGAACGCATGTGATCATTTTGTAATTATTACGCCAATTAGGGTGTGACATGTCACTTTGGATTGTCACATGACCTTAATTACTACCAATGCGTCGAGTGCTCGGTGGTTTTTATGGGTCTTTAGCCGGACTGTTATTGCCTATTTGTTTTTGAGGAGGTAGTTTTTGTAAACAAATAAACACCAAGAAGAGTTCTGCAATATGGTGCGAGCCTTCATTGGCCTCTCGCAAGGCCATCTTTTAGCCTTCACATACCGTCTGAATGAGAGAAGTCGTGGTTCATCTTCCCAGAAACTGCAGCCTTCTTTGACATTACTGACTTGCGCCTCCTTCAATCCTGGCTGACTTTGTTTCACTTGAATTCAAAGATTTAATACTACAAATACCATACCCGCCATTGATCACTATCCGAAACCAGTTCACAACCTCTTAGTTACTTCACGAAGTTCCATTTTAATAATATTATCTTGTCTTCTCTTTCCTCAGAACTTTGTTTCAGCCCAAATTTTGTAATCAGCCCCAACGAAGCAACTAATTAACTAACCAACCAGATACCTAACTACATGGAGCAGAGTCCTTGAGAAGCTAACAGTCGTTCAGCTGCACAATGGATTCCTCACTTTTTTTTATGGAATCCTAAACTTCATTACCATATGCGCAAAATTGCTCCAAGTGGATTCTATCCTCAGCCAGAGTAATCAAATTTATACCCTCCCAACTTATTTGTAAAAGATCACTTTTAATATTAACCAACCATCTTTGCTGTTTTCATCCAAGTGACCTCTTATGTTCAGATTTTCCAAATAAATTGTAAGAAATACCAATCTCTTTCATACATGCTGCATGTCCTTACCTCATCCTTCCTGATTTGATAACCTTAATGGTATTTGGTGAAGAATACAAATAACGACGCACCTCAGTATGCAGAACTTTCCATCCTCATATTTAATTGCTCCTTCCTAGGTGTCAGCACTATGGTTTCAAAGCTTTTGGATTTGAATCTTGGCAGTGGCACTGACTGTCTTGGCTGAGGGCTTTTGATGCATTCCTCAATAATTCATGACAAACGCCATGATAGTGCCACAGTCACATGTTAATCTTTCTTTTCCATTTCATTGCACATGAGTGGTCAGCCTCACGCCCCAGCTGTTTTAGCCCCAGGGAAAGAGCCACTGATATCCATTGGATAGTACAGATTGGGTAGACCCCAGAATTGGTCTGAACGGTGTGGAGTGGAGAGTGCAAAATCTTGTCCTTAACGGGACTCGAAATCTGACCCCGTGGCCACCCAGCCTGTAGCCAGTCACCGTGTTGACTGTGCTATCCTGGCTCCCTCTTGATTTGTAGTATTCACCAAATATATTAGGTACTTAAAAACTGAGGGAACTGGACTCATAACCTCCAAACAAATGCCTTTTACATTCCATTATTCATTAATCATTCTATAATATTCAATATTATATTGTCTAAGCTACTGGCATTATGAAATACAAATAAACAAATATAAACAAATAAATAAATCAAGAACAGAAGGAAGACATGTAGTATGCATGGGGGGGGGTGAGAATTGTGTTCAGAATTTTAATAGAAAAGCCCGAAGGAAAGAGACTGTAAGATTGATGAGAGGATAATAACAAGATCGACCTGAATAGGAAGTTATAGTGTGAATTGAATTTAAATGGTTCATGATAGGGTCTTGTGTCAGGCTCTTGTGAACATGGTAATGAATTTTCATAAAGGTGAAAAATTTCTTGCCCAGCCCAAATTCTCAGAAGAGACCATCCTTCATGGAGTAGTTATACTGCTTAGTCAATTAATTAGTTTTGATATGCCCTAATAATAACAAGCACAGATCACCTGTTATTTTCGGATGACAAGAAAAGCAGTTCAGTATATTGAGTGGTTGCAAGATGCAGTGTGACAGCTCTGCTACATGATGAAGCTGAATCACACACACACACACACACACACACACACGCAGCAGCCACGCACGCACGCACACACACACACACACACACATATATATATATATATATTTACTTACTCATGGAGCTGAGCCCTTCTGGAGGAGCTGCCAATTCTGCAGCTACTCAAGAAATTCCCAGCATTTTATGGAACCTGAAGGTTCATTACCGTGTTCACAAGAGCCCTCCACTGGTCCATATCCTGACAGTTAAATCCAATCCACCACATCCCATCCTATCTCTATAAGATCCTTTTTAATATTGTCCACCCACCTATGCCTTGGTCTTCCCAGTGTTCTTTTTCCTTCTGGCTATCCCACCAATATCCTATACACATTCGTCGTCTCCCCCATTCGTGCTACATGCCCTGCCCACCTCATCCTCCTTGACTTGATCATTCTAATTATACTTGGAGAAGAGCACAAGTTATGAAGCTCCTCATTGTGCAGTTTTCTTCAACCTCTTGTCACTTCATCTCTCTTTGGTCCAAATATTCTCCTCAACACCCTGTTCTCAAACACCCTCAGTCTATGTTCCTCCCTTAATGTCAGAGACCAAGTTTCACACCCATACAGAACCACAGGCAAAATTATAATATATATATATATATATCTTGTTTTTACAGGATGAGCCAGAAGCTCTGTGTTTCTGCAAGGAGACACAAACTGCATGTGGTATGGACAACAGGACATATGAATCTGTTTGCCAAATGAATGAGGCAAGTGTGAAAGGTGGCAGTGCTATATACTTGAAACACTGGGGACCCTGCCACTCTGGTAAGACACTCTTAGATATCCGATGGTCCAGAAATACATCATATTATTACTTAAAGAAACAGTTCTTACTCTTTTACCAACACACTGTTGAAGTTATGCACATTGACTGAGGTTAGATACAATAACTGTGAACAATGGATCAGAATGAGTTTGGGAGGAAGTGGTTGTAGCTAGTATGCAGTTTTAGCACTTGTCTGGAAAAAGGGTGATAAAAACTATGAAAAGTCAGTATAGTCAATTTCCAGAATAAGATCCTAAGATGTAACCTTCAGAATACAAAGCAGAAGTAATAACCATTACACCCTCATATTCAGCTAAATTGAATATGATAAGAAACCAAGGTCAGCCTTGTAAGAAACTTAGAATAAAATTAGGACACAATTAACTTGTGTAGTGCTGAGCCAACCAGTTGCCTTCATGTTCAGCTGTGAAATTTTGTTGGCTATCTGTGAATAAACAGACTGTGTGAGTCAGACTTGATTGTTGTTTTATCTGGTTTGTAGATTTAATAATGTTTGAGTGGCTGCACAGAATATGATATTAGAAGACGTTTAGTGGCTTTGTTTTCTTTCCATAAAATAAAGGTTTATTAGAAAATCCTTAAAGGGTAATGAGGTCATCTTCATAAAGGGCTCAGTGATCAATAAGCCACAAAGCTTAAAATTTTAAAGTAAATGGCAAGCAGCATGTCCTAGCACCATATTTAACTTTAAACATATAAATATCTCACATATGGGACCTCTTTGTTGAGTCATGGGTAAACTGCTTGTCCTTTGGTTATACAGCTGAGTGAGTTTTGTGTTATGACACATGACACAATGTTGGTTGGTTTAATGAAAAGATAATTTACCCCCCCTCCACACACACACACACATATATATATATATATATGTGTGTGTGTACACATGCATGCATGCCCATGGAAAGCTGCAGTTACGTTAAAACACAACACCTTTGTAATAAGCAACTCCAATTATTTTCAGTCACAAACTGCCTCACATATTGTTGTTGAAGATGGTCATTGTAATAAGCAGTGTACTATGCACAAAGGAAACCTAAGCTTTCTGGTCAGTATGGCAAGAGACCAACAACAACACTGGAGACACATAGTTGTAATATGCAGCTGTAATTTAAACTTTTAAATGTAGTTATTTCTCTGCAGCTCCATGGGTCACCTCAGGCCCTGAAGATGTGGCTGGTTCTCTGCATCAAGGTTTGGCACTGGATTGTGAGGTAAAGGGCTACCCTATACCTGGAGTTCATTGGGAGTTCCAGGCAGACAGTGGCAATATCAGAGTTCTTCCTAGTAAGTTACTGCACCAGTATCTCTTTTATGAGTCATGTTTAGGTATGTGAAGGAGTGAGTGAGTTGGTGACTTGGTAAACGAACGAGTGAAGGAGTGAAATAGCAAGTAAATGGGTGAAGGAGCAACCAAGCCAGTAAGTTAGTGATACAAAGGTGTGAAAATCTATAATGGGTATTCTTCGTTGGTGATTATTGACTGATTATGTTGATACAAAGGCACATTACACCATGGTATAATGCCAATAACTGAATACAAAGCAGATTGATAATATTCTTTAAAAACACAGTTCATACCTCTGAATACAATATTGCATACAGATTACCTTGTTTCCTCATAAGAATAAAGACAAATTCTAAAATATTTTTAATAGTTTTGTATTGACAGAATAGCACATTGATAAATAATTCCTCCTTTTAAAATGTATACATTCGTTGAATGACTGGATACATTTTATTAATTAAATTAAGAAATCACATTAAGACATTAACAACTATAAAGCTGATGAATGAATAATAAATTAACACAAGGCATTTATTCATTTCTGACGTGAGTCTCACAAACTTTCCAGGTGATGATCTATATGTGGCAGTACAAGTCAGGGGTGGACCAGAGCCTTTTATGGTCACATCATGGGTTCAGATAGTGGATTTGAGGCCCACAGATACTGGCATCTACACGTGTGTAGCAACTAACTCTGAAGGAGAGGCCCGTGCTTCAGCCAAAGTTGGTGTCAGAGGTTGAGTTTGGTAATCTCAGCACTGCACTACACCTTTCATGTACCTCAGTCATCATTTGCTTATATCTTGTAACAGCAGTCAGTTTTAGAGGGTACCTGATGTTATTTTCATAATACAGTAATATCTTTTTAGCTTAGATTGTGATAGTAATATTAACCCTTTCACTGTTGGTGAAAGAAAATTATCATCTGATTGTCAGAATTTACATATCCATGCAATGCTTATTTTTGAACATTACCTTTCAGATTCATTCTGTATCTGTGGTACTGATACCCTGTATGCCTTATTTTGCTGTAGAATTTCTCAAAGCAAGAGAGAAATCAATCTAATGACACTCACAGACCATAATGCTCAGTACAATTTTCTGTGGAATACAGGTTTTCCACCCATAACAGTTACAGGGTTAAAGATCATGGAAGTGTAATAGCTTCAGATCTGCATTTGTAGGATTCTTTAAATATCACATTAAGAAGCTAACTTTATAATACCAAAAAATATTAGGGTCTACAGCTGATGACTAGGTGTTCGTGCCTGTGTTCAGAGACCGGTGAACAAACTTCTTAACAGTATATTTAATGTGTTGTGCATAAACAGAAGTGGAATTTAATTATCTATGAAATTATAATGTTCGAACTTTTTTTTTGTAATGAGAGATTTTATGGATTAGAGAATGATGGAAACACAGAGAAAAGAAGCTTGAGTGGAAGAAATTGCAAATACATTGACTGCCAAAAATCCTTTTCCATAATGGAATCAGTTTTCACAAATTTGTCAGATGTTAATTTTGGAGCTTAATTAGATCTGCCAAGATTTCTTCTATAAAAAATATAGGTTTAAATGATTTTATAAGCATGAGAAGATGGTTTACATCTAAAAAGTTAAAATTTGATGTAGGGGTTAATTATAAAGATCTCACCTTCAAGGCACTAGAAACTGATGTACGGCCTGAAATTGTTATTTGAAACCAATTTTAATTTTTATGTGTGTCACCATAGTCTGGGAACTTTGGCAGAGCAGATGCAGAGCAGATGCAGAGCAGATTTACTCTGGAACTATGAACCTTAGAGTCCATATGCAAACTTCAAGCATGAGAGGTCTAAGCAAATGGAAACAAAAGCATAGCATAAATGCTGAAAACAAATTGGCATGTGAAGAACAGCAGCTAGTTCATGTATTAAATTGTGATAAATATTAAGCTTCTAAGAAACCAAAGTGTATATGTATAACAATGTAAGTTATACAATATGTTATGGTTGGTTAAAATCTGTAATGTGAACAAAGGAATTATATTTGTAAGAAATCTGTCACAGTGACATATTGTACAAACCCAGTCTGATAACCTAACATAACCTAAGCAAAACCAAGATAACCTCTCAAGGTCAACCCTTGAACCAAGGTGGATGTGCATGATGATGTGCAATGGTCTATTGCACAAATCTAACCTGACCACCAAACCTAAATTAACCCAACACATCACAAGGAATCCTTTAAGGTCTGCCTGAGTGCGAAGGTTCATCAGCAGGATGGTGTGCAAAGTTAATTTTACATAACGAAACCCACCCTCATTTAACCTAGCCAAACGCAATCATATACAATTTGTTCCAGTAGTGTCCTGATACACAAGTAGGTGTTGAATTATATGCACACATCAGTGCACAATTAGAAGTAGTAGTTCTTGCAGTTTGGGCTGGTGTGTTAGCTGTGCTAACATAACGTAACCTAATCCAGTCCAACCTGGCTGTCTTAAACACAAAAGAGAATATGCTGATAGTGTACACAAAATTTGGATAGGCTATCCAAACCTTCCCCATTTCATAACCAAATCCAAGCTAATATATTGTAAGATTCTATCTTGAGGTCACTAAACGACAATTATACAGAATGTTAAGAAGGGGGTTACACACTTTAAGGGGGTATAGGACACACTTAAATCAGCAACAAAGTCCCACTCAACATATGTCCTGAAATCACTGCCTGCTGAGATGTGGGCAAGTTTTGAGAAGTCTGCATATTGAGAAGATTGGAAGAACATCCTGGAACCAGTGTGCAAAGAATTTTAGCTGTTGAAGGCATTGGTGTTCCCTTGTCAGGAGAATTCACCATGAACAATCACATTACCCCTACCACACCCAGCAAGTGCAAGCCCTTCTTCCTGACCACTGTGCATGGGTGATATTTTCTTATTGGCTTCTTACAAAATTCACTGTAAACACACAGTTTATAGCTAACATCCTGTTTACTGATGAGGTTGGATTTAAAAGGGAAGGTACTGTGAGCTTTTCTAATAACTATGTCTGGGTGGATGACAGTCCACACACCACTGTAGCATCGAGATATCAACATCGATTTCCCACAAATACCCGTGTAGGTATTTTAAGTGATCATCTATTTAGGACCAGTTTCCTTACTGATTCGCCTTACAGGTGCTATGTATCATCATTTTTTTTTTGTGGACAATTTACCAGTATTCTTAGAATATGTGCCTCTTCATCAAAGACAACATGTGGATCATCCATGATGGGGCACCACCTCCTTTTCTCTATATTCTTAGACAGCATCTTAACCAGACTTTTGATGAACAGTGGATAGAACACGGGCCTGCACGGTCCCATCACCTTAACCCTCTGGAGTTTTGGCTGTGGAGACACATAAGGACTGTGGTGTATTCAGCACCGATCAATGACTTAGAACAAGGGTCTCCAAACTACGGCCCGCGGGCCACATCCGGCCCGCGAAAGAATTGTGCAGAAATGCGCCAATTGAACTAATTTTTCAGTGAGTACTGGTAAATGTGATTCCGAGCTTATTGACCTGACATATTATATTGCAGTTCGATGGCTTAGCTGTGGAAAGGTTATTTCGCGCTTCTTTCAGCTCGGGAATGAAATTGATATATTTCTTACCGAGAAAAACTATCACGAATCACTTTTATCAGATACCGAGTGGCTTTAGAAATTAGCATTTTTTGCTGATCTGGTGAACCATATGAATTTAAAGTTGCGGGGTGAAAATAACTTAGTCTGTGATTTATTTGCACTTATCGAGGCGTTCAGAGCAAAGTTGATACTTCTGGAAAGCCAAGTGAAAAATTGTAACTTTGTTCATATGCTACACTGCGCAGAGTTGCATAAAAAGGGTGAAGCAGAATTTCCTTCCTCGTTTGCAAATTTAGTAATTTCAAGTTTGAAAGAACAACTTCGGAAACAATTTGCTGATTTGGATTCCAGTGCTCAGGAAATTAGATTGTTTCAAAATCCGTTTGACTGTGATGCTGCAGATGTCCCAAGTCAAATTCAAATGGAAATTATTGAACTTCAGGAAAATTATCATATTAAAGACAAATACAAGGAAGGAGATTTGATCGAATTTTATAAATTTTTGAACTCTGAGCAATTTCCAAATTTAAAGAAATTTGCTTGTAAATTTATCTCCATTTTTGGGACGAAGTATCTGTGTGAACGAACTTTTTCCCAGATGAAGTACATCAAGTCGAAATACAGGGCAAATTTATCCGATGAACATTTAAAGTCGCTACTTGTGATTAGCACTTCAAAATTTGAACCTCAATTTAATCAGATTTTAAGAATGCAAAAAGAGATCTATCATTCATATTAATTGTTTTATTATAATTTGTGATGAAATTATGAGCATTTGCTGCTACTGTCTGTTGTCATTAATATACGATAATTTATTCTCACGTACTTTGTATTTAGTTTATGAAATTTTGTGCTTTCAATGAAACTCAATATACCTAGAGTTATTAATTTCTCATTTTATCCGGCCCGTTGAAAGTGCTGAATTACCTAATGTGGCCCGCGGTTCAAAAAGTTTGGAGACCCCTGACTTAGAAAAACAAGTAGAGAATGCATGTTAGGAGATTTGAGTTAAACTAGGGTGCACCTCTGTGCAACAAAGAGCTGAAAGTTTTGTTGAAATGCATGGAAACCACACAGAGCACCTGCTGCAGAGATCACACAAACATCGCCCATTTCTCAGTAGACATTGGTTTCTTGACATATGTTGACAGATAATTTTGCTCATTTAAGTGAGTATTATATCTCCTTCTTGCCTGTAAACAGCCTGCTTACAGAAAGTCAGATTTTCAGATTATCAGAACCAGATAAGCACCACTTCTTTTGTGAAATGGTGATGCTCTTCATTCCAATGTAACAGCTTAGGAGGCTTATGATGACCAAGAGATATAGACAAAAACATTTCCTTCAGGCTAAGAGGTAGATTTATGCATAAAGGGCAATAAAGATTGTCACAATAGACGTGATCTGCACATACACAATACATTTAAAAAGTAATGAGAAAAAAATTCTTAAAAATATGAAAGTTCAGACTGTTAACTGGAAATAAGCAGAGCTAACCAAAGATTCTTGTTCACGCTTGAAGAATGGAGAGTTAACCCTTAATATTGTCATGCACGCATATCTCTAGCATTATTATTATTATGAACGCAACAAAATAGTCTCATTGCTTTTCAGACGCATTGTGTCAGTCTAATTTCGTAGTAGAATATTACTGTAACTTTGCAAGAGCTTAGATTCTAGGTGCTCGCAAGTCTTTTGATATCTTGACATTCTGAAATATTACATAAAGTTAAGCGACCCACCCCCCTTCACCATGACTACCTGTCGGCGATAAGGGCAGTTGTGCGTGCTGTGGCAGGGCCTTATTAGGCTGCACACTGATAGCAGGAAAAAAATTGCTTTGCATCTTTTCTACACCTACAGTAAGCTACAAAATATTCTTGTGCCGTCACGAAAAATTCGCAAACTGTTTTGGCAATTGTTGCATTTTCTGAAAGCACCCATGTTAGATGTAGGAACCAGGATAGCGTAGTTGGTATAGCGCCTGGCTACGGGCTGGACGACCGAGGTGTCGGAATTCGAATTCTGGTAGGGTCAATAATTTTCTCTTCTCCACGTTGTCCAGACCGGCTCTGGGGTCCACGCAACCTCCTATGCAATGGGTGCAGAGGGCTCTTTTCCCGGGGGTAAAGCGGTCGGGGCGTGAAGCTGACCACTCACTTCCAGTTAGTGCCGAGGCCCAGAAAATGTGGATCTATACATCTAGTCCCCCATACGCCTTTATAGCGTAGTGCTTGATTAGTTAAGCACAGGGACAATTTTACCTTACCTTTTACCCATAGTAAATGTAATGGCTTGCCAAAACTTTTCGTGGATGCAACTATATTTTAAAATATTTCTTGAGAACTGGGCGGCATACTTTAGAGTAGGTCCTGAGCCCGGGGTCTCGACCCACAGTTTGATATACTACCTCAGAACAGTATTTAATTAAGCCGCGTTTTTATGCGCTTCGAGTTAACTTCAAGTTTGTTCAGACCAAAATAATACATCGATTGTGGAGTATATTTAAAGGGATTTGATCTCTTCAGTAGGAGGACCTGCTATTAAATGAAACTGGGAAATGTCTTTCTTCGTCTGTGCATCTTACAAAATATACTGGGTAAGTTCTATCCTCTCCGCCGAGAGCTAGATTGTTGACAAGAGTTGCTACCGTGATAAAATTGTGTTATTACTGCAGCAGATAAAGCCAATGACAGCTTTTTTACAGATATTTCTTTAATTAGTGAAACTATGCATATAGGTTATGAGTCGGTATAGCGACGTCCTGCATGCTGGACGATCGAGCTTCAATTCCCGGCATGGAAGTGAAATTCTCTTCTCCATATTGTCCAGCCCGGTTATGGGGCTCATCCAGCCTCATATCTAATGAATACCGTGGGTAAAGCTGCGAGGGCTTGAAACTGGCTACTCAGCTCTATCTAGTGCCGAAGTCAAGGAGGTGGGGGTATATCTTCACGCCCTCATACGTATTCATGGTGTGGCTCTTAATTAATTAAGCACAGGGACAACTTTGCATTTATGCATATAGGTTATTTTGGAACAGCTATATGCATTAGCTGTAAGACAGTAATAAATTATTTATCTTAATTTACTGACCAAACAGCATATTTCTGGGTTCATTCTATGGAATGGGATAAAACAAATATGATTCCTGTATTAACAGCTTAAGGCTAAAGTTGATTTGAGCGAGCTGTTGTCTATACCTGATAGAATTTTATGTGTTTTCTGCTTTAAGGCCAGCCGAATTTCTTCAAACGGCTATTTGTGGCCAGAGGTTCAGTTTTGCCCATCCCTTTCCCGCGCGTTAAGTATTTGACAGTAGAGACCTCTGTTGAGGATAATTAGTAACACGGACTCGATTGAAGTATGACAAATTTAGGAGGTATTTTCCATAAATATCTATTAATTGATTACTTTGTGGATACATATACTGATTAAATTAGAAAACGAAAGAAAATATTATTATTGAAACTCACTTGGAGACACAGTTTTAACCTCCGGTTGTACTGTTAGTGATAGTGATAGTGTATTCTCGTAATACAGGTTTGAAGCCCGCCGTTTTCACGTTGTGTTAGGAAATTAGATGAAACCTGTTCATTCATATTTTATTCTAACAGATTTAATGATTATTTTATTAATGACAAAGTTCATATTTAACGTTATTTGTAATTTTAATCAAATTGTGAGGTAGCTTCCAATTTAAGAATTATTTACATAAGACCTAGATGTAGCCGTGATCGTCTAGTGGTTAGGACATTGCGTTGTGGCCGCAATAACCCAGGTTCGAATCCTGGTCACGGCAGTATATAACTATAACGATTAAGGTGTTTTTTTACTGGGTTTATATTCAAGGAAACATTTGTTTGTTATTGTATCATATATAACTGTTTAATGACATGTTATAATTTAATGTGAACTCCATTTATTACATGAAGACAAATGTAAATTCAAAATTGGTTATTAATTAATTAAATTCTAAGGTTTTAAAACTTATTCTTCTAAGATTACAAAATTAAGATATTTTCACGTATTTCAGCATGACACTTAAAAGCATCAGCAAAATGTTAAAATTGGAGACCATATGCAGTGATAAGATTTGCATGGATAGGAGTGGAATAGTTAATTAAATTTAAATTATGAACTAGATAATAGTGTTTAGCTTACAACGGCATCCAAACATACATACATGCATGCATGCATGTGCACACACATAATAGCCAAATATCTCTCCCACCCTGTTTCTATAAATAGTGCCTTCTAGAAAAATTGTAAACAAAAAAATTTCCACGTAGGGAGACAGTCCCTGGGAAGTTCTTAATTTTTATGTTACATTGATGGGTTTGAGTACAAGTCAGTTTCTTCCTGCATTAGAAATATATTGTGACCATGCAACAGAATGTATTTTGAAGGTAATTTTACAAATGCATAGAACAGTGCAAATGAATACACTGACAGGATGAGTTGTGACAGAGGGGGGAAAAGTCACTCAAAAAGAAAAATGAGCTTTGGAGGACCTTAAAAAAGATAGAAGGGTTTCTTTGTAATATCTGTAACAGGTCTCAATAGGCCTAAATGGTAGAAAGTATGATGATGAACTTATGCCAGACAGAACATTTATTTAAATTTTTGCAGTGTTTCCTCTTACTTTGTAGAATTATTGGGCACTTGCTTCATGAAGGACGTCAATGGTAACCACTTATTTATATAACATACTTTCTATTATTTACCTTTTATAAGGCAATTCTATAACATCTTGAATGTGAGCATTGCTTAATCTGATCAATTCTGAACTGTTGGCATTACTTCCTGCCAGCTTCTTAGTTGCTTGCTGGCAGTCATTCATGACAAAATCAACTCCAGACATTGAATTATCATGCCCCAGAAGGGGTATTGATTTTGAATAATGGCTTATAGTGGACGTGAATTTTTACACCCTGAGTATCCCCATATACTGTGCCTATCTGAGCATCACTTTAAGCAGCTTGAACTTGAGATAGTCCAATTAGGACATTATACCCTGGGAGCTAGTTATTGTAGACACTTAAAAAAAAAAAAAACGGAGGTGTCTGTATTTATGCTCGCCGAGATTTGAATTTCTCCAATATTGATTTGAGCAACATCTCTATCGACCAACATCTTGAAGCCTGTGCAATTTTATTAACTAATTCCACTGATAGTGTCTATATTATATCAATTTACAGAGCTCCTAGTGGCAATTTTACTCTCTTTTTAAACAAATTGGAAACTATACTTAATTTGCTTTTTAGGAATAATATTAGAATGGTTCTCTGTGGTGATATTAATATTAATTATTTATCTGATAATGATAAAAAGAAGAAATTGGACTTGCTATTAGCTTCGTATAACTTAGTAAGTACAGTAAATTTTCCGACAAGATCCCAAAATGGCTCTGCAACTGCAATAGACAACATATTTATTGATGCGTCTCTACAGAGTAACTATGTAATATATCCCTTGCTTAATGGGCTTTCCGACCATGATGCTCAGTTAATTATTTTATCAGAGGTTAAAACGCATACTAAGAATGGCAGGGTAAAGGGGAAAAAAATGATAAGGAAAATTGAACTGGCTATGATACAGGATTTTGAATATAAACTGAGTCTTGAAACCTGGGACTCAGTTTTTGGCTCCAACGATATAAACTTAATGTATAATTCTTTTCTCAGTTCATTTCTTAGAATATTCTATTCTAGTTTTCCCCTGAAAGTGTTGAGCACCAGAACAAATAGTAACTTGTGGATTACTCCTGGTATTAGTAATTCCTGTAAGCATAAAAGAGATCTATATTTGATATACAGGAGTAGTAACGATGAGGCCTTTAAGAGGTATTATAGACAGTATTGCAAGATATTAAAAAATGTCATAAGAGAAGCAAAAAAGAAGCATTATAGTAGACAGATATCAAAATCCAGTAACAAAATAAGAACAATCTGGAATATAACAAAGTCAGTAACTGGGAAGTTTGCCAAAGTGAATTCAGTTCAGGAATTAAAAGTTGATGGACGGATTACTAAAAATAGGCAATATATAGCAGATTTCTTAAATAGTTTTTTCATATCTGTGGCTGAGAATAACATAAACAAAAGTCTTGAAACAAACAATAAGCCATTAGATTACTTGCGGCAAGCTTTTGATCATCCCTTTCCCAGCATAAAATATCAAGCTGCAACCTCAACTGAGATATTTAAAATTATTAAATCTTTAACAACAAAGAGATCGCATGGTTATGATGAAATATCAGTTGAAGTGTTAAAAATTAGTAGCCCCTTTATTATATCTCCTTTAACATATATTAGTAATAAAATGCTGTCTGCTGGCGTATTTCCGGATAGGCTAAAATATGCTGAAATTAAGCCTTGTTACAAGGGCGGTTGCGAGAATGATCCATCTAATTATAGGCCCATCTCCCTCTTAACCTCCTTCTCAAAAATATTTGAGAAGATAGTTTTGTCTAGATTAAATCAGCATATCCATGATCATAATATAATAGTCAATGAGCAATTTGGATTTAGACGTCAATCCTCAACTGCTAAAGCCTCTTACATGTTACTCAATGAAATACTAGAAGCATTAAATAAACAAAAAGTTGTAGGTGGAGTTTTTTGTGACTTGAGGAAGGCGTTTGATAGTGTGAATCACGAAATATTGTTGAGTAAACTACAATATTATGGGATACAAGGTAGATTTTATGATTTAATTGCATCATACTTATCAGATCGACATCAGAGTGTACTAATAACAGATATTGAAATGAGCAACACTATTGTCAGGCATGGAGTCCCTCAAGGGTCCATACTNCTGGTTTTATTTGGTATTGAACATGTAAGATATAATCTCCAACTTGACTGGTATGCCATTAACAAACATACCTCATTATAGTTGATGGATGTTGTGATCTTTTATGGTTTGAGATATATAAGCTACTAAATTGAATGAATTTATTATGTAATGTGTTTTTATCACAATTTTAACTTATTTTATTTACAATTAAACATGCTATAGTGTTATGTATATTTTAGGTTGATGTATATTTTATGTTGACTAGTTCCATTGTTGGAGCATTTGTTGAAGATATTTGACTTGTTCTGTGTCCAGTGGTGTTGCCCTGTAATTGGATTTGCTTGAATGCAATAAATACTATACTATACTATACTAAGGGAACATATGTTTGTCATCATGCCCATTTTACAAAACTGATCTGGATTATCAATTGGAGAACTCTGTCTCCCTGTGATCCACATTAGTACGTTTTCACTGTTTATAATCATGTGACATGTCTTTTCTATTGATGTTCTGTAGTTATCTAGCAGTTCCTACTAATTGCAGTAATGATGTACTAATGCTTTTCAGTAAGGACTGATGTACTGCATTGCCAAAATCATTGAGTAAGTTAAGTAGGAGTACTTAAGGATGAAGTTACAGCCAAAACACTGGCTACTCTGTGGTTCTTTTTTGTCTGCTTTCGGTGCTTCCAAGTAAATCATTGTGTAATACCTGGAAATATATCACAACCTCTTCCTCCTTAGCCCTTACAGTTGTAGAGGCATGTCAATCTTGCAGTTTTATCCTGAAGAAACTTTCTCAACATTGCAGTGAATGGAGCATATTCCAATCAACTGTATCCAGGAAAATTTTAACCTTGATCAACTGACCCAACACATGTTTCACCATAGCTGTATTTATGAAGATGAAAATGTGAATAGCATTTTTCTTTGTGGAAAATAGGCTCTTTGAGTAACAAGTTTGACAAAGCAGTGTCAAAATATGTTAATAACATTCTTTAATTAACAGTATACATTTCTGTCATACAAATTACATACAGTGGAGTTACCAGCCATCTGGCTCAGGATCCCTGGAAAATACAGAATTCAGTGAACTTGTCTGCAGTAATGCTCACCTATTATTACAGTTATTTAGTTGATAATTTACACTAATTTGAAGAGTATAAAATATATATTTTATGGAGACAAGGATTATATATGGAAACATAATGAGAAATTCATTACTTGGTGTGAATTCACATTTCAAACCTTGTCACTTTATTCTCAAAGTAACTTGTTAACATTGGGAAAGCTGTGGGTGTATGATATTTATTGGTCTAGGGAATTATTAAGCTATTTTATCAAAAATTGTTGACCTTGTCTATGAGTGACATATTCTGAGAACCTGCATTCTTGATAGGGATGGTGTAAATTTAGTGCACCTTGAAATAACAGTCTGTAATATTCATCAATCTGCAAATGTGATTGAGTTGTTCATAATCATGTGCTAGGATAGTCTCTTAGTAATCTGATACCAGTGTTTCACATTTAACAATAGCAGTAGCTGGCAGTTTTCCAGTTGGAAAAAGACTCCTCTGAAAGTACAATTTTCTTTTTATCAGCTGAGTATTTTGAGTTGTCTGAGAAAAAAATTGTGTTTACATCACACAGTAATTCACACTGCTCTTTTTAGAGTTAAAAAGACTGGTCAGCTAGGAGCTTATACAGTGTAATATTACTGTTTATATGTGTATAAATATATGTTTAGTTCGGAGGAAATTAGATTTTGTGTTTTAGAAGGCACTCCTCCTTGATCTATGCTTTACATTGTTGCTGTCTGTAATTAGTATTATGTGAATTTACAAATTTGTATGTTGTAGTTAATAGGACTGCCTTAAGGAAGGATGCAATAACATTCATCTTTGATGCTTAGTGTAACCAGTAAGCTCATATCTTCTCTGGCTTGTTTTGTGACTCCTTAAACAATTTTCAGGGTCTTATCAAATTTTAATGGGTGGTCTTTGCCAATACCTAGCTAAAAAGACTATATTTGCCAGTTAGGACTGGTGTGTATCCTGGGGGTCTGAATGAATTTAAGGTACTGCATATCTTTTACATATGATAATATGATACATTCAGTATGCCTCTGATGAAATTTATAGATCTGAGTCAAGTAATTTTCAATATAGTAAGTCTCTGGCCAAGGAATCTTCTTTGAGAAATTTGTTGTAAATGTGTATGAACATAAGCAACATTGATGTTATAAGTTTACGTAATTTTGCTATTGGTCATTCTTACCCAGGAGTTGTCCATGGTGTTCCTTGTTCAGAAATCATTAGAGTTTCTGATGGGCTCCTGAAACCAATATAAATGGACGTAAATCATTCTATGGAACAACATACAGACTGGCTAGGTCCTAGAATACAACCCCAGAGCTTTAATACTCCTTCAAAACATGTGCCAGTAACACATCATCATTTCCCCTTAGCATTTGGCAAAAATCATGTAAAAAGTAAAATATATGCAATAAAAAATCAAATTTTGATACTACAGATGCAGAGACTATAAATTTCTGTGTTTCAGTCTTTCATGACTAAATTACTCCAAGAAAGATCCTTTTGAGAGAGGTTTCTGGAGAGAGAAACAACTTTTATAAGACAATGCATGCAGTTTATGTAGATGTCTGCATTCTCATTGATGTGACACTAACAACTTTTTGACTGGCTAGCTGATTGATACTGGAAGCTTTCCCTGAGGGTAGAGTGGCCAGGATTCCAACCAATACTGAAGTTAAGATTACATGGAGCTGCCTTTTTCATATGCTTTTGAGGCATATGCTTAATTAAATGCAGAGAAAACTTTACTTCTACTTTATAAGTAATAAATAGTGTTGATGTTATGGCGACTATTCCCTGTTATAAATCATATGTGTACCTACTCAGAGCTGTGGGAATTCAGAAGGCTGATATTTTGTTTGAATTGCTTGTAGTGTTCAATGAGCTTGAGGCAGAGTGGGGTGGCAGCTGAGAAGAGCAGCAAACACCAGACTGTCGCAAACCAAAACCCATTCTGTAAAATATAGTTGACACGTTAGCATTTTGCAGTGTGCTGTAAGGTGACAGAACACACCTGGAAGGGTGTATAAACTGTCTGACTACAAGAATAATTAAATTCAATAAGGAGGTACATATAATTAGTTCCAGGACAAATTCTGTAATACACATTCAAAACATGGAAATGAAGTCCTGAAGGATGGGCACATATGCAGCTTGATGAGATACTATTCATTATCAAGATTCAGAAAAACTCAAATGTGGTATAAATTAAAACTGTGTCTGATTAGTAAGAAAGAGTTATAACTGTTTCATTTGACATGCATTCTTATGATGTGGGAGATCCATTGTCAGTCATACTAAAGTTTCATTTGGATTTTATAACTATTGTGAGAGTTACTCTTTTCTTCAGCAGTTTGACTGCTGATGCAGAATTTTCTCTTCTATTGAAAAATATTGTCAGTACAGTATAAGTATGCTGTATTACCAGGGGATCCATCATGTGTCTGCAGAAGAGGAGTCGCATGGCTTGGTATAAGTTCCATACAGGTTGACAGGGTGCTACATTGTTTTGTGTACTTTTCAGAACGTGTGCTCTGTACTGGTCCATGTAGCTCAACAAACGCTTGTTATAACTCTGAGATTTCTGTGAAACAGGTAAGCATTTTTAATAATCACATAGAAGTTGATAAATTTAAAGTGTAAAGGAAACAGACATTTTCAGTAGACACATGGAGTTTTACAATCAAAATGGCAGCTAGCAATGTTATTCATGATGATGTGTGCTACTATTTTTTCTTCCTTTGTGCTGACAAAATGTTTGTGAATTACAGTATTAACTCATTAAGAACAGATTCCAATCATTCATAGCTATTTAGGCATAGTGTATAAGTGGTGGTAAGAAAGCGTTTGCTTGGGAATATCTGTGCATTCCACTTCAGTTCTCTTTTTTCAGAGACTCTCCAAATAAGGTAAAATGAGACTGTGTATATTTTAATAAATACTTTTGTTACAAATAGGCAATATGGTGAATATTCTTATGCCAAATAAAAAAAAAAGTGGTGACTTTAATCAGAGTGTATAAAATGGAATTATAATATAGAGTGCATATCTGTTACTTCCTAAGTTTCAGGTTAAGAACTAGGTACTCTACTTTCTCATGAACTTTTCTGTTGGGGCTGTACACTAAAGTTGGCCTAGAGATTTCATTTTGACATATATTATTGCCATAAAATCCATATTTTAGTGAAAATTAAGTTGAATTTCATCACATATAAGAGAAATGGTTCATTGTAAGAAAATGGGCGCATGGCATAAAGCATAGACCCCATGAAAACATGTAGCTTCGAACTGAAATAATTTTAATACAGTGTGTGGTGAAATATATGAAAGATGTATTTTGCCGATGTAGTGTTACTCTGTTAAAAGTAAATTTGTATCTGCGGTACAAACATATCAATACCAATGAAGAATAGGAAGCCGTGAAGAAAGTTGTATGTACTACAAATTTCAATAAACTTTCCACTGTTTGAACATTTTCAGAATATAGTGACATGTGAGCTAATGAAGTTCTTGCTCAGAAATATAGCCACAATAATCAAGTGCTGAATTTTGTTATGCCACAGTAAAACCTTAACTAAAAACACTAAGGTAACACAATAAAAACTAAAACATAAATGTTGCAACACCTGAGTGCAAGGAATCGTCACTTTATTCTGAAGGTTTAGATCATTCTTGTTTAACAGAGCATCACTGATGTCAGTCATACATGTACTGTATATGTCACAACCCAAGTATAGACTGAAGATTGAAGTTAACACCATTCTGAAAATATTATCACCTCATAAGCAATGCTGCTGCCTTGATTGTTGATGAAGTACTGTATTGTCTTGAGGTGCGATAATGACTGATTCACTTGTCTTTGAAGAGGCGCCATTTGCATTTCAAGGGCAGTCAACTGGTACACCAGATCCGCCTGCGAAATTACATGTGAACCGTAAGAGAAAAGTAGGAATTCCAGCCTTACACATGACTGATTATGTGTCTTATGATATAGAAAAATGTTGTATGAAAGAAAGTAGCATATTTATGTAATAATAAATATTATGTTGTAACATTCAATCCATTCTGTAACTGAGTGTGTACATATTTGGCAAATGTTCTTTGTACATTGTTATGTTCTTTGTTTAAAAACAGTGTATTGTGTAAGGGAGTATGTGCCTTTCTAAATGATTAACATTATAAAAATAAATTAGTATATATGTAGAGCTTTCATTTCCTCCTTCCCCTAAAATTGTGTTTGCCATTACTGTAATAAAAAAAGAAAAACGAAAATAGAAGGTCAAAAAAACAGAGTGCACTGCAGATATGCAACTTTTGACAAGTTTACCAGTCTGTATCAATTGTTTACCAATATGCATACCAGTGTATGCTGGTTGAAAAGGTCCATTATCTGTGTGTGTGTATATATATATATATATGTAAAACATACATGATAAACATATGGACAATGAAGTAGAAAGAATAGTTCTTATTGTTACTGTTTCTGTTGCAGTTATTATTATTATTATTATTATTATTATTATTATTATTATTATTATTATTATTAAAGGTGAAGCTGTTCCTGTGCTCAATTAATTAAGCACCAAGCCATGATGAAGATGTATGGGGGCACAGAGCTGTATTTCACCATTCTTGACCTTGGAACTAGATGGATGTGAGTGGTCAGATTCAAGCCTCGGCCATTTTATCCTCGGGGAAAGAGTCCCTGGTACCCAGTGGATAGGAGGCTGAGGGAACCCCAGAGCCAGTCTGTACACAGTGGAGTAGAGAAAAATCTGTTGCCCCTGCCTGGAATCCAACCCTGATCGTCGAGCCAGTAGACTATTGCTACACCGCCTGATGCAGTATTCATTAAGGTTATTCCGTTTAAAGGTATGTAATATTTCTTTTCGTATATCTACGTTGTTGAGCAGAAAATAAAATAAAAAGATAGTTCTGTATGAAAATAATTGACCATGAAGTCCAAATGGGCAGTGTTAGAATTCTATAATGAACTGATGAGCCAGCAGAATGTATTCTTGCAGAACTCAAGAGAATCCATGAAAAGCAACAACACAACAGGTCAGGTTGTTTGTATTCCTAAGTACCAAGCTGTGAAGGCATATTTTTCGTGCAACTGTGGCCTCTCTCAACACCTTGGTAGTGTGTAATGTCATATATGATAGCAGGCTATATTACCTTGTGTTGTTCTAGAGGCTGCACGTGACTAACCAATAGCTGACGTGTTATGGATGCGAGTGTGTCCAGCTGGGACAATGTGGACTGGTCTGTGATGTGGTTGGCCACACTTGTCATCTGGTCCGCAAACGACGGCACATCTTTACCAGTGACTTGCCCTGACAGCTGCATTCACAAAGTGGGAAACACATTTGACAGTGGAGCCTTATGTGTTAAACAAGGTATGTGCATACATGTGTTACAGATATATTTTGCTACTGGTCATTTTCTGTAAGTGTAGGGCAATGGAGCCATATTTTGTATACTAAAGGTAGGTGCCATTATTTTTGTTAACAGAATCGTGAACCATTAGTACTTCATTGCGTTCAGGTAGCTTAATATGTCTAGTATTAGAATCAGTACTAATTGTGGTCCCAAATATGGTATATAATAAAAAAGTAAATAAAAGTCAAAAAGTTGTACAGGAAGTGTGTGCGGAAATGGTAGCCCAATTTCTGATAGCTATGGTTCCTTATTTCGGATAGGCAACATAATTTTTTACAAATGCAATTCATAAAAGAACAACCACAATAAACTGAATGGAACAAGAGAAACATAGGTACATACTGGAGGCTTATTTTTATAAAGAATAAACGGTAATTTTTTAAACAAATTAATTACATGCATATTTGCAAAATAATCAAATTTTTAACAGAAGTTAACGTCAAGTTATGTCTTATATGAAGAAAACAATTTCGAGTCAAAATTCAAATTTGACTGCTTATCGAGTACAGTACTTGCATTTATTTTCTTTTGCAGCCTTCACTGCAGATCTAATGCAGCAGACTGGTCAATTCCTTTCTTTCAGTATCAGTCACATAAAAATGTATAAAACACTGAGGCTGTACATGTATAAAATAAGGTTCCTAATTTTGGATGCTTGAAATTCCAAACTATGTTAAGTATCCAAAATTAGGCAACTCGGGGAATTGAAGCTTTTGGAAGCGATGGAAACACATTTTATACATGTTATAATGTGCACAATTAAGTTCATATAAAAAAGAATGTGGTGTTAAAACTCACATAAGATTTCCAAACCTTAACTCTATAAGAGAAAATATTATATCAGAATTGGCAGAAACATATACCCTGACGGCAAAGCAATAGTGCTGCTTCACCGTCCAAACTACCGCTGCTAAGAAATTGATTTGGAGGGAATAGTGAAGTCCTGTGGCCACCACTGCAATGCTACCCTTACAGAAAATCTACGCTATCCAAAATATGATGATTTTACCCTAGTATTTCTGTGGGGGGGGGGTCTTAGTCCTTGTACTGGTATTTGGGTGTCCAGCATGGAATTTCCTCGATGTTTATTTGAAAATTTTGTGTTAATGGCAACACAGCATTTTGTGCATTCACGTATTCTTCAGACTAATGGCACCAAGGAAGTTGATGCTTCAGACTTGTGTTCGGGAGGCTTTCTATTCTATTCTTGGCCAGGTCACTGATGATTCTGAGCTTGTTTTACTCAGTCACTCTCGGCAAAGAAGGAAAGCAAGAGTCTTGTATTTTATGTGGATGATTATCAGTTTAATTGGTCAAAATCATCGTGTGACTTGTTGAGGAATGGAAATTTCAGGTTAAGTCAGAAGTGTAGGTCTGGTGGTTTGTGAGATACTGCTGTGTGTGTGGATTCTTGTATATGCTGTTCTTTTTTTTCAGCAGATACTTGCTGGTACATCGCGGTGGCGTAGTTGGTTGAGGCACTATGCCACAAGCTGGAAGGTCGCGGGTTCGGATTTCTGATGAGGTTATCGAATTTTTTGATTTACCTAATCCTTCCAGCCGCACTATGACCCTGGGTTCGACTCAGCCTCTAACAGAATTGAGTACCAGGAATCTTCCTGGGGGTAAAGGGCGGCAGGCACCTAAGGCTGACACCCTCACTGCCATTTATGAGCCAGTTGTCTAGAAAATGTGTGAGCCTCGACGTCTCACAACCTATGGGCCTCCACGTCCTGTTACAGGGATAGATTTACGTCAAAAGATTTATACATACTGGCAAACAATTGATGCATGTCAGCAGATAATTATGCATATGGACAAACTTGCCAAATTCAAAAGCTACGCATCTGCCGGTACATTGTGTATGTCAGCCATGAAGTTACTACTGAACATGAGAGTACCAGCAAATGTGTAGAAGGAAGCACTGGTTATGTGTAACATACTTGGTTGCGGTGGTCCGTGAGGTTAGCAGTGGTGCCAAACAGGAGTGCCTGTAGGTGCTGCTGCAGTTCTGGGGTGAGGAACTGCAGATTGGTGATGTTCACATTTAGGTGTTCCAGTTCTACATGCACCAAATCCCACTTCCGGTGATTGGATGCTTCGTCTACGTCAAATATCTCCTTCAGTCTGAATGTTGAATATGTGGATCCGTTCTCCTTGCATGTTCTAGAAATATGACATATCATGTTACATGTTAGCTCAAGTGGTAAAGTTATCCCTGTGACAGGTTGTGGAGGTTCATAAGATTGCGAGACGTCGAGGCTCCCACATTTTCTAGAAAATCGGCTCAAAGATGGCGACGAGATTGTCAGCCTTATGTGCCGGCCGCCCTTTACCCCGATGAAGATTGCTGGTACTCATTTCTGATACAGGCTGAGTCGACCCTAGGGCCATAGTGAGACTGGAGAGATTAAGTCAGTTGAAAAATCCTATGACCTCATCGGGAGCCGAACCCGCGACCTTCCGATTTGTAGCATAGTGCCTCAGCCAGATGCTCTTCCGCGTGCCTCAGCTCAAGTGGTGACTCGTCCGAAGTATTGTGTTGGGGAGGTATATGGTCTGGTTGTTTGTAGGATTATCCCTTTCCTTTATTTTCTAGGCCAGTCGTCCCCAAACTTTGTTGGGCCACCGCTCCCTTGATTCCATGAACTCATCCCCAGTGCCCCTTGTCCTACCCTATAAAAAGCATTCTTGAGGATAGCGGTTTGCACAGCCCTCAAAGGAAGATAACAATAAAATAAGATACCTCATCAAGTAACTACTTCACTGTTAGTAAATTCTTAATGCGATGGATGGGCTTAATGAAGTGATGCCAGTTTCCCAATGTCTGGTCTAAATTCACTTCAGTGGTAAATAAACTAACGGCGCTCTCGGAGGGGCCTATCTTCAGTGCCTCCTGCCGGCCCTTTGCCTCTTAGCGTGCCCACAGGTAATCCCCCGCCAGGGAGCGATACAGCCCTCTTTGGGAACCATTGCTGTAGCCAAGTGGCACAGAGTACACATTGATATAAGTTTCAACTTCCTCTCGTCACGTCTGATGACAGATAACCTCGGCATCATCATAATATTATCGAAATAGTTGCAGTAACATTATTCGCGAGTGCTGCTTTTGAGTCTTTTCCTAGGTCGATTGTCCTGACATTTACAGGGGTTTATCACAGTTCTGTAATTATAAGCAATTGTGATGTGTATTTTTTTCCTTCAGTGCTACAGCCCCAATTTGGGTCTTGGCCTACCTCCATGAAACTCCGTTTCACTTCGGGGTACTAGATCTTAGACATTCGGTAGGACTTCTTGGGTAAGTGATCAGCACGTCACAAGGCCTCTACCTGTACACAAACACAGAATAATGGACACACAAACACTAAACATCCATGCCTTGAGTGGAATTCGAATCAACGATCCCGGCTTCTGGGCAAGCGAAGGCAGTGCGTGCCTTAGACCTCTAGGCTACCGTGACCAGCTGCGCGTGTGTATTTACCTTACTTAATTTTCTTTTCTTACTTTCTTTCTTGCTTTATTTTTTTTCTTTCTTCCTTTTCTTTGTGAAATACTCCCTGTCATTCTTTCTGTGCTTGTGTGCACGCAGAACTGCAGTAAAATCTCACAAAATCCGACCACCTATAGTCTCGTCTGCCTTAATTCTCTATGTATGTATTTTATTTAGACAGAACGGTCAATCTTTCATAAACGAGGATTTAAAATGTAATTTACCGCTTCCTGTCTGATTATATAAATATCGAAACACATATATGATATTTAATTTGTGCTATATTTCCACTCCCCCATACATCTTCATGGCGTGGTGCTTAATTAATTCAGCGCAGGGATAAATTTACCTTTTAACATTACCCCATTTTCCTTTTTTTGAAAAAAAGAAATAGACATGCGAATTCCATGCTGTCCGTATGTGTGTGTATCCCCCCTTATTAACTTTTGATCGCTTGAAATAATCTTTATAAATCTTGGTATGTGTATCAATACACCTGAATCCATTTCAACAATGTATTTTATAACTCGCTCCCATCAGCCTGATTGTCTGTATATGTATCCCCTATCATTGCTAGGCAACGGCTCGGTACAAATTTTAGTGCAGCAAGGAATACACACGAAACAATAGGAGAACTTTTGGACATGTCGTTTTCTATGCGGGGTCGAATACCTCCACCGTAGCCCTGTGAGTCGTAAGAGGCAACGTAAATGGAACCCTGTACCTGGGGGGATATAAATACGGAGACCCGACCCTCCAGGTTAGGATTGTCTCGAATCTGAGGTATGATCATGAGTCCGCGGGACTCTGACCTGAGACTGACTGCGTTGACGAGGACCAGGAGCAGTTGTAGACAACAGACCCATCCTTTTGTCGGAGAGGATATTAATGAGGACTATAATTTAAAGTGTTCAGTTGAAAAAAAATGCTGGTCGTGAGTCTCAAGGGGCTTGTCACTAAGACAAACTGATTGGCGGCAAACTGCCAGTCGTAAAGTAACTCTGACTCTGACTCTGACTCCCAAAACTTATAGATTATTAGTTTGCTTCCTGCAGAGAGCTAAAGAAGGTTTCCGTAATACCAATACCGTACTCACTGTAGCACGTCACGAACTGGAACGTCCATAGTACTGTTGCCGTAAAGGAGGTTGGAGAAGAACCCACCACGCTTCTCGAACAGCACACCGGGTTGGTCCACGAGGCGCGTCAGAGCGCTGAACTCCGGCCCGTCGTACAGGGGGCGGCACACGAACACCTCACCGTGGCCTCCCACAAGTAGGGCTCCCAGCGCAACCCCCCACAGTGCCACAGAGAACAGGCATATAAGTACCACAAATCTGAAATATGGCACAAGAGAAGAATGAGATTACGTGATATGTTTTTACTTGATTTATTTCGTGACACTGTATCGGTTGCTTTAGTTATACAGCGTGCACTATAATAGCTCAGTCAGTGGAGCGGCTGCATATGGAATGGGGCTCGTTTGCTGGTAAGAGAAGCTATTATTTGTATCGCAATCATGACTGGGACCTGCTAACCTCATATCCAATGGCTGTGGGTGGCCCTCAGTGCCTTACATTGCGAAGAACACATTTGGAAATGTTTTGTACTACGAAATGGAATTTCTTTTTTTCTTCTCTTTTTTTCCCACTGTCGCCTTTGAGAAATTTGGTAGAGTTGGGTTTGAAACGCAAGTAAATAGCGTTTCTAGATACCGTGGGCTATCTCAAGGTACTGTCCCGGATTTTTCCTGGGTAGGATGATAAAAACCGTAAACAGCTTGTTCTCTAGCCGAGATTCGAAACATGGACCTGTCGAATACAGATCAAATGATTTGGCACTGAGACCTCTAATCCACTCTCTAGATCAGTGGGTACAAGAGGGGGAGATGGGGTCCGAAGGGTGACACTATTAAGGGTGATATTTGGGTATCTTTTTATTATTCTAGAGCTGCCTAGGGTGATGCTGTTGAATTCAGTGTCTTACTGCTTCTCGTCTCTTATCTAAAGAAGTAAAGATTATAATATGCACAACTATAATTTCGCCTGTTGTTTTGTATGAGTGTGTAACTGGGTTTCTTATATACTTGGAAGAACACAGATTGTGGTTATAGACTGTGATTTTGAATTGTGGTCTGTGATCTTTTGGTTTATGACCCTGAGTAGGCTTGTAGGAATTTGCTAAGGTTTCGGGAAAAACCTGGTGAACTTATCGTCGTGGTAGGAGACTGCCCTGAAGAATGAGATAGCAGCTTTCTCCGAAGCTATGGTAACAACCTAACAAGACATCATCATGCAAAAAACACACCACAATTTTCACTAATATGGACCCTACATGTTGATTGAGGGTGGCTGGAACAGGGTGCTGAGGAGAATACTTGGCCCGAAGAGGGAAGCTGGCGAAAATTGCATAATGAGGAGCTACGTAATTTGGACTTTTCCCAAAATATTATTAGGGTGACCAAACCAAATAGGGTGAAAGAAGGAGAGGCATGTAACATGCATTGGAATAATGTGAAATGTGTACACAATTATGGCCTGAAAACCAGAAGAGCAGTGGACCACTTGGAAGACCTAGGTGAAGATGGGACGATAGCATTAAACTGAGCTTAAGGAAATGGGATATGAAGGTGTGAGCGGGTTACAACTGGCACAGAATAGGGACCAATTGCAGGACCTTGCAAACACAGTAATGAACTTCAGGTTGGAAGAAATTGTTGTCAAGCTGTGCGACTGTCAGCTTCTCTAGAGGGAATGATGCTTGGAATTCTCGACTATCACACTTTCTATTGATGCTGACGGAATTAACGGCCATAACAGGCCCACTACACTCTCACAAGTCATTATACTCGTATCTGTTGCGCAGACCCCCGTTGAATTATGCAACCCAGATGACAGATTTTGGTTGAAATTAATATTCCTTCTGTCTAGTGGGCGGCAGCGGCCTTTACCTGGAAGTAAACCTATTTTCCAGCCTGAGCGTGACGCTATTTTATCGTGATGTTACGAATGTAGAGCCGTCACAACCGAAACTTGCGGGCCTCACACGTTTTACACAGCCTGTTCTGTATTTCTCATAAATGAAAATTAATTTCTGATATGTTCATATCGTGACCGTTAATGGGCAATAATCTAACATGCTACCGAACAATATAAGTACAACTATTTTATGAGTTACGACTGCAAGTATGGCGGTTTTCATCAGTGTATGTGGAAATTTTGCCTTAAATTGTGACTAACTAGAGAAAGTTGATCTGTTCCAATAGATTGAGGGTTGGGGTTGGGGACGATGGGATTCAGTCTTGCAACAGCCCTGTAAGGAAGTCGGGATAGCTCAGTTGGTATGGCGACTGGCCTCGGGTTGGACGGCCGGGATTCGATTCCGGGCAGGGGCAAGATTTTCTCAGCGTCTAGCCCGGCTCTGGTGTCCATCCAGCCTCTTATCCAATGGGCACTGGGGGTTCGTTCTCCAAGAGTAAAGCGGCCGGGACGTGAAGCTGACAACTCACCTCCATAAAGTTCCAAGGTCAGAGTTTGAGCTGTACCTCCTTTCCCCCTTTGCTTAGCCCTGTAAGAATGCCTGGAGCTTTATCTCTGTGTGATTTTTACTCCTTATGCACAGACATACCTTTGCCTCATAATCAGAATTTTCTGTGTCAGTTTAATCCAGAACACTTACACTATCAAAATATGGATCGCTCGATCCTCGGACCCACAACAACCGCAGCTGATACCAGAGATCAGCACCAGCCAGATGACCATGACCAACATAGTGGAGCCTGAAAATTATCAGAAAAACGTCATACATCTGAAGGGCTATTAAAAATCAGATATGTTGGCAGGTCGGTCTTAAGATAATTAGAATTATGAAAGTATAACATCTTTATAAAACTTACACAATCCCAACTCATGATATAATTATGTATTTACAGTTAATTTATAAGCCGTGCGTATGCCTAGATTGGAACTCAGCAACTGGTAATTTAATAGTACATTGCCACCTCGATGATCCGAACTAATTAAGGTACTGGTATGTTGGGTTTATAGCATGAACTGTCTTTGCCTGCTTAAACCCTGGGGTTATGGGCTCGAATTCCAAGCCAGGCATGAATGCCCATCCGAATTTATTTTGTATTTTTGTTGTCCTGTGCAGATAGCGTCTTTGTGGCTGGCTGATCCCCCGTCCAAGGATCCTACCAACTATCCAAAGATTAAGAAACTGAAGTGAAATGAAGCGTTTCACAGATGCCCTATGTTCCAGAGGGAGAAACAGGAAATATGCGTGAATGAATGTTTCGAACAATGAATCGTTCGGATTACTGTATTTCAAACATTTTCAGATTTTTAGTAAAATTACGAATATTTACCCGAAATATTTATAGTTACATTTTGTATGTATGCAACGACCGGAACCCGCGGACGTTCAACTACACGCCGGGTTTGGGACAAGTGGTTACCGGGTTACATTTTCACCACCCAGAGAGGCACGTCCACTAACAGATACTATCATATTTCACAAGAATTCATTTGTACCCGAAGGAAATAAAATAATTATATTTGATTTGTAAGTATTGGAGATGCCTATTTCTTTTGTACTGTAAGTCATTTCAGATTACCGAGGTCGTACTGTACAGAAAATAGTTGCGTGATTCAGATTCATTCATAAGCCATACACAGGCCTACATCAGAACTGAACAACACGTAATTCAGCGTCGGACATTTTATAGTTCTGATTAGCATTTTTCAAACTATAAATTATAGAACTTCTGCTGATATTACCGAAACCTATAAACCAGCGCCACTTGTCTAACGTGGACAATCTTCTGATCATCTGCGGCACCTTACTGCGAGCGTCTTCTGTTTTATAGGCGAGGTCTCTTGCGACGACGTCCAGAGACCAGATCTCGTCATACAGAACTTCCTTCCGTCGAACCAGCTGTTGTTTAACGCCTATAAGAGGAACATTAAGAAAACCATTATCAGTAGATACTATAGGGTTCTGGCAATGGTGTATAACCACGAACAACGTGGGGGTTGCTTGCAGTTTGCCCAGACGTGGCCGAACTGCTGGCAGTTGTAGCATTGCGTGAGCCCGCTTTGTGCTTTGTACGCCTCTACCTTTATGGCAATGTGGCAGAGGTTGGGACTTCTCCGTTCTAGGTAGTGTGACAAGGAACAAGGGAAAGTTAATGGTATTTGGTCCTTCTGGAGGAATCCAACGACTGGTTATTTGTTTGACGCTAATGACATCAAACCTCAGACTCACCAGACCGTCAGAGATATCTTCAGCTGGAGTATTTTGCGGAAGGTGACTGATGACAGCTTTGATGGGTTTTTAAGATTTGGGGTAATAGGTAAAGTATGAGAGATTGTTACTCTCTAGGAATTTTTTGATGGCTGAGAAGTCCGCCATTTCCTTCGTGACAATTCTGGTCCCGCTCCTGGTGTTGCGGAACTCAAATTGCCCGTGACTATGTATTTGACCTTCCTCTGCAATTGCATCAGGTTTGCCGTAGAGGTTAGTACAATAGGAGGCGGCCTACCTGGCTTGTTTGCCGACGGCTGCTGTTCTGGCTTGTTAGCTGTCTCCACGTCCTTTCCTGATGTCCTCAGGGGCGCAAAGAAGTTCTTCGTTTGTACTTCACCCTGGGATTTTATCCTAGGGTCCCTCGGGCTAGGTGACGGCTTCGACTTTTTCTTATGTTCTTCTGAGGCGTTTCGCTTACGCCTTCTTTGCTCGCGAAATTCCTCGGCTGATTCTTCTTTTTGTTGCAGCATAAGAGATCCTCGGATCTCCCTGTGGATGGCTGCATAGAGGCGCAGCATGGCTGTGAAGAGAGCCTTGCCGTCGAGGTGCTTACAGAGCACTGTTCTCTCGGCCTCGGATTTCGTTATTAGTTTATTCCATACTGCGCCGTTTCCATTTATGGAGGGCGATGTGTGGATAAGCTGCCCTATTGTTTGCAAGCCGTTGCCCAGTAACTCGATATCTTCCTGGCAGTCAGGAATATTAGTTGTTTAGTTTTCGTGGTTCCTCTCAAAGGAAGCCACGATTGCCTTCCACCGCGTTTCGCACAAGGTCGGCTCCGTCATTTCGCCTGCTTGATAGTCCGTTGCAGACGGGACGGCCCCACCTCCGATGCACTAGCCACGCCACTCAATGTATAGTTTTCTGCGCACTATCCTAACTACGGCTGATGCACGAGGAAGTGAACACTTAACCTTTAAGTCACTCGACCCACACAACCCGACTGAATGACTAATATACACTAGCAGACTGAAGAGTGCTGGGCTGGAGCTCTGTCTTTTATACCAACCATGGTGGGCGGAGCTTAGACTTGTAGTTGCTATTGTGAGCTCTTATTGGCTAGCGCATGTGATGATTATGAGTGAGCTGGACAGCGAGTGCTGTACAGGGTTTGTCCGAAAAGTAATGTCAGTGAGTCGATTAAAAACATTTATTGATTAGATCGGTGCAACACATTAAAAGGCTTCAAAATAGGCTCCTTCTGCGTCGATACATCGCTTCCAGCGAGATTTCCAGGCATCGAAGGCGTCATGGTAGGCCTCCTCCGAAATGTCCTTTAGAGCCTTGGTGCAAGCCTCTTTGACTTCGTCAACTGTCCCAAAATGATGTCCTTTCATGGGAGTTTTCAAGCGCGGAAACAAAAAGAAATCTGGAGGAGCCACGTCAGGACTGTAGGGCGGCTGGGGAACCGTTGGCACCTTTGAATCGGTCAGGAAGTGGGTCACGAGGAAGGCGGTGTGGGCTGGCGCATTGTCATGGTGAAGTTTCCAGTCGTCCGCGATGTCGGGCCGGATGCGATAAACCTTTCGTTTGAGTCTCTTTAGCACTTCCACATAGAATTTGACGTTGATGGTTGTACCATGTGGTACAAACTCATGGTAGACGAGCCCCCTGATGTCAAAGAACACAATGAGCATGACCTTAACCTTTGACTTGCTCATTCTGGCCTTCTTGGGGCGAGGGGATGCCGAGGTGTGCCACTCGGCACTTTGCCTTTTTGTTTCGGGGTCGTACTCAAACACCCAAGTCTCGTCACCTGTGATGACATTGTCTAAAAAGTGATGGTCACTTTCACACAAGTCCAAAAGTTCTTGGCACGTTTCAACTCTGCGCGATTTTTGGTCGTCCGTTAACACGTTGGGCACCAGCATTGCGCACACTTTTCGCATCTGCAAATTGTTCGTCACAATCTCGTGAACACCACTTTTTGGAATGTTTAATATCTGTGCCATTAAACGAACACTAAAACGACAGTCTGAGTTCAAAAGTTCTCTCACACGCGTCACACTTTCGTCGGTGGTGCTTGTTGATGGCCGTCCAGCGCGGGCTTCATCGCCGACCTCTTCACGGCCTTCTAAAAAGGCCTTGTGCCACCGGTAGACCTGACGTTCCGACAAACAATCATCACCGAAGGCCGTCTCTATCATGGGAAAAGTTTCCACTGCAGACTTGCCAAGTTTCACACAAAACTTGACGGCAATCCTTTGTTCCAAGGAGCGCTGCATGCGGCTTGCACGGGAAACAAAAACGAGTTTCACGGAAAAGCCTTCGTCACTCCCAGGAATTTCGGAGACGACTAAGCGACCGCGCGTTCATAAGCTGACTTCCCCCTCCACCGATCCCAACCGGTCTGAGCGCGCTGCGACGTATAGTCACTTCACAATAAAATCACTGACAGTACTTTTCGGACAAACCCTGTATAAATATGAGTGGGGGCAGCAATGTGATTGGTTAGCGCACGTGATGATGAAAAGTGAGCTGGACAGCGAGTGCTGTATAAATATGATTGGGGGCAGCAATGTGATTGGTTAGCGCACGTGATGATGAAAAGTGAGCTGGACAGCGAGTGCTGTATAAATATGATTGGGGGCAGCAATGTGATTGGTTAGCGCACGTGATGATGAAAAGTGAGCTGGACAGCGAGTGCTGTATAAATATGATTGGGGGCAGCAATGCGATTGGTTAGCGCACGTGATGATGAAAAGTGAGCTGGACAGCGAGTGCTGTATAAATATGAGAGCTGACAGCAATGTGCAGCAGCTCTGCTGGAAGCCGTGGATGAAAACCCTCCTCTAAGGATCAGACCATGTGACGTTCAGAAATTAATAAAATCCCTGAAATTAAAAAAGGCCTGTGGAATTGACGGCATCCCAAATGAATGCCTCAGGCACCTTCCAAGGAGACCATTGGTTCACCTAACTCACTTATTCAATCACTGTTTTCGGCTCTCTCACTTTCCAAATACTTGGAAGGAAGCAAAAATAATAACTTTACCTAAACCGGGTAAAGACCCGAAATTTCCTCAAAATTTACGTCCGATCAGCCTCCTGTCCACGACAGGAAAACTATTCGAAAAAGTAATTTTGAAATTCCTCCGTAAACATATTGAAGAAAGAGGCCTGCTCAACGCAAGTCAGTTTGGTTTTCGTGCACGTCACAGCACGACATTGCAATGTATGAGGCTGGCGGACCACGTGACCCTTAATTTCAACAATAAAATGTCTACGGCTGCAGTGTTCTTGGACATCGAAAAAGCCTTTGATACCACGTGGCACTCAGGCTTGCTGTTTAAATTATCAAAATTGAAATTCCCCAACTCTTTGACCAAGCTTATTGGGTCCTTTCTCTCTAAACGCAAATTCAGGGTCTCTGTTGAAGGCGAAATGTCAACGCCAAGGGAAATGCAAGCAGGGGTGCCACAAGGTTCTGTTCTTTCCCCTACTCTCTTTAATTTGTATATAAATGATGCCCCCCATACACAGGGCGTTCACCTGGCCCTCTTTGCAGACGACACCTGTCTGTATGCGACAGATCGCAAAGAGGGTTTTATTGTTAGAAAACTCCAGCGCGGTCTCAGCTCAATGGAGACCTGGTGTGAGCGCTGGAATATAAAAATTAATGAAGATAAGACTCGGGGGGTCTACTTCTCTCGTGGTCGTCGACCGCCTGAGTCTTGTCTTACTCTAAATGGAAGAAACATTCCATTTGTAAATAGTGCAAAATATCTAGGTGTAATCTTCGATAAGAAAGTGACTTGGAGATTACACATAGAAATGATCGAAGCCAAGGCCTTCAGAACATTCATTAGAGTGTATTCCCTATTCAAAAGTGAGCGATTGAGCGCTAACATTAAACTGACCCTCCACAAAGCTCTTATTAGATCCGTAATGACTTATGCTAGTCCCGCCTGGGAGTTTGCGGCAGACACTCATCTAGTGAAATTGCAGCGCCTGCAAAACAAGGTTCTCCGCACGATTGGCAATTTTCCAAGGCGCACACCGGTCCGCGATTTGCACATGGCATTCAAAATCCCGTACGTATATGATTACATAACAAAATTATGCAGGCAACAAGCAGAAGTCATACAAAATCATGATAATGAGAATGTTCGCAACATCGGACAAGGCGAAGCCCGACACAGAAAGTATAAGAGGCTTAAACTTGGCGGCGGTCAGGCATACGACCGTTCAAGTGACTAGACTGCCGTGGTAGCTAATACTACTAGGATACTTATATATATATAAAAAGGGCATAATCTGCTGTACCTAGCCTGGACTGACAGAGGCCGTGTATATATGTACATTTAAATAAGAAATAAGTGTATTATAAATATGTAAATACAGACAGTGGACTTAGTACTACAGACTGACTGACATTTGTCAGTCAGACAGACCCGACCTCTCGTCAGAGAGGGCGCTACACATGGACAAGACAGTAACTTTCATTCAAAAGAAATATCTGGTCATGAGCCCCAGCTGGGGCTCGACACCAAGACAGACAGACTGACTGACCGTCAGTTGCAACGTGACTCAGACTCAGACTCTCAATATGCAGCAATGTGCTACTGACTTAGGAGTGAGTGTTGTCTGTTGATCGGCGAAACAGCGTGATAGTATGTGGGATGTTCCCACAGACCCAACAGAGTGTCTTCCGTCACCTGAGGACGGAAACAGATCCAGTTTCCGAAACGTTGTGTTTTTAGCTATTTCGAATCCGGACCATGGAACAAGTCCGAAAACCCAGTATCTCTGTGTGTTAATAGGTCAGCTCTGTCTAGCACACTCTTACACGTTGTCACAAGACCCACGGACATTACACATACTCACTCATTCCTCAAACTGATCTCAATGTTATACGTATTTCTTAATTTATTTAATTAGTCGTCTATCATATGACATTAGTAGGATATGTTCGAGATTAGAGTAATCTCGTTGAAGGCTTGAGACCGCGTCTATGGTCTTGTGGTCAGATTTCCTGACTACAGATCCGGCGGTCCCGGGTTCTGATTCCTTGCGCTACCAGATTTTCTGAGAAGTAGTGAGTCTGGAACGGGGTTCACTCAGCTTCGTGAGTATAATTGAGGAGCTACTTGAATGGAAAAGTAGCGGCTCCGGTCTAGAAAACCGAAATTAACAGCAGTCGGTGGCCTTTGCGCTGACCACGCGGCACCCTCTATCCGCAAAAGTTGGCACTAACTTTACCGACAAGCGGCGGTCGCTCGGTCGGTATAGTTCGTTTGCGGACAAGCCACGGAGTTTAGTTTTTTTTAGCTGTATCCTTGAAATGGATTCATGTGCTGTGTGTGCTGTATAGGTGTGGCATTTGTCTGATGTTTCTGAATGTTTCTTATGTGTGTAGCCAATTTCATCAGTTGTCCTAATTGATTTATGATGAAAACATACACGTGTGTTGTCGATATTTAACGAATTAAGGCAATAAAAAGAAAACATATACACCTAACCCTCGAATTATGCTCCACACCCATTTAATTTAAATTCAACCAGTGTTCCTTTTTGTTAGGTTCGATTCAGAGAGTATTCAGTCAAAAATTTTATTATAATGAGTGATATAAATGTAAATGTAGCCCACAAAAGTGGTGAAATAAAAAAACAATCCCACATTAAAAGTGACTCTGTCACTTATTTCGCTTCTGACTTTATTTAAGGCATACAAAGCGCAGATATTCGTTAAATTGGACTTTAAGCTACTTTTGTCTAAGATTGTATCTCTCATACATCTCTAACATCGACACTAGCTGGAAGCGAGTGGTCAGTTTCACGCTCCGGCCGCTTTCCTATAGGAAGTAAACACCCGCCACCCATTGGATAGGAGACTAGGTGGGATCCAAAAAGAGCTCTGAGCATTGTGGGAGAAGAGAGATAACTTCTGCTCATACCAGGAATCCCAGTTATCCTGTCTGTAGTTAATCACTATATAGATGAAAGTATGGCGACCAAATTGGGACTGGGTCACATTGTAAAGAAGTTATCAGTTACGCGATTCATTAATACCGAAATCTTTATAACTTCTTGTTAATAGGTGAGCACATGCATGCCTCTCTGTCTTATGAGTGTATCTAAGAGACAGAGTAAAATTCGGAGTTACGGCATCAAGAAAGACAATGCACGTGAGATGTATTTAATTTCGTCCTTAGTGATTAAGACAAAATCTGGCTTGTGAGGGGTTTTGTTTCCCTTGAATAAACGTATGTTAATATTTCAAGACATAAAACCTAAACAACTCCGTGGCCTGTAGTCCGCAAGCGAACTATACCGACCGAGCAACCGCCGCTTGTTGGCGAAGTTAGTGCCGACTTTTGAGGATAGAGAGTGTCACGTGGTCAGCGCAACGGATCCCCACGGCCATTAATCTCGGATTTTCTAGACCGGAGCCATTATTTCCTGGAAATAGCTCCTCAGTTATCCTAACGATGCTGAGTGTACCCCCTTACAGACCCACTATTTCTCAGAAAATTTGATAGCCCCGGGAATCGACCCCGGGACCTCTGGATCAGTAGGCAGGAACTCTGGCCACTAGACCACAGAGGCGGTCAGTATTTCAAGACATCGGTTTTCAATCTAAAATAATAAGAATTATATTTTACATCGAAATTTTTGGATATAGCAAGCTGAATAAGGAACGTGTATATGGATTTAGACGTGAATGCCTTCCATAGATACGTGTAAGCATTTAGAGTGCTCCCGGTAATTCACATTATAGATACACACAGTCCCAGTTTTGTATTTGCTTATAATTATGTCCGTGGTTTTCGTCTAGAATTTTGTTCTCGCAATTAAATCAATTCTGTTCATGTGACTTACCGTTCCGCGCATTCCTAGTCTCTTTCTCGACTTGTACAGGGATGAGCCGAAATTCCTTACGTGCTTGCTGTGCCTCTAGGGACAGATTGCTGTCCCTTATCTTTGCCAGTCTCTCGTCTGTGACCAGCTGCAACACAGGTGTTATGTTAATTCATATTATGCGTTGTTTGCACAATGTACACAAAACAGGAAGCTAAATTAGGATTTTTGAAGTGGCTACTTTTTTCTATATGACATTATACTCCTACAAAGACATTACCAAAGTAATATATGCATTCTGCAAATGTCTACTGCCATACAGAATTTCACGCCACTGCTTTAAGTGGCGTTAGTGTCGCTCGCAGCTTATATTCGCTTGACCACCATGTTTGTATTATGGAGGACAGGAATACTATAGGAAGGCAAAAATGTTGATTAGCCTCTAAGGGCTTGCTATTCATACCGTATTTAATGGAAATATGTATGTTGATTCAACAACTTATTTGGTGACACAAACAATCAGGCTGACGGTTTTTTTCCCTCTCTCATACATTTTGTGACGTGTCTATCCATTGTTAGGAAACGACTCGCTAAACACATTCCCGCAAAAGGAAACCTGTCTAGGGGTTCGATTTACGAGCTTCAGTATCCAAAGCGCTAAACCCACAGAAGCTGACGCCTAGTCGATAATTTATTCAGCTCTTCGTGGGAAGTGAGAACAGCTGCTGGAGCATGTAGTTCTCGTGTATTTGAATATCTATTGTTGTTTTATATTCCCCGGTCTAGAAAACCGAAATTAACGGCCGTGGGGATTCGTTGCGCTGACCACGCGACACCCTCTATCCGCTAGAGTTGGCACTAACTTCGCCGACAAGCGGCGGTCGCTCTGTCGGTATAGTTCTCTTGCGGACTAAAATCACAGTGTTTGTTTTTGTTTGTTTTCTATTCCATTTGAGAGAGCAATGCACGCACCCGGATCGCTGCGTCCAGCTACACTATTGTTAATGGTTTGATACTTAAATATTTCAAGAATGAAATAAAAGGCAAAGCTATTTCTGTAACTGGCCGTGGAGGTCCTTAAGGTTGTGATATGTCGAGGCTCCCACATGTTCTCGACAATTGCTTCAAAAAGAATGTGGCGATGTGGCACAGTTTAGATCTTGAATGAACCGATGTTTCAGGAACACATCGCCTCCATCTTCAAGGTAGAAAATTTCGCGAACGAGGAACCGGCGTGAGCAGCTGGCTGCAGAATTGTGTTACTTCGGAATACTGACCACACGAAGTTCACAAAAATATAAATAAAAGTAAAAAACAATATGTTTCAACAAAATTCAACATTAATTTGGAATTAGTTTTAACCGAGTTTTAGAACAAGGAATTAGAAAACGCAATACAGCGCAACAATTACGTAAGTGTATCTACCTGATGATGAACTTATAAGGTTAAAATATGTCTTGGAAGCATAATTGATTTAAAAAAACTCAAAACGAAACACACAAAACGGTCTAAGAGTCCAACAAGAAGTTGTACCTCCAAGACTGTCTCTGCAAATTAAATTCTGACTTTCATGTACGGGGGCTTAGAAACACTATCGTCTTTCACAAACAGGGTCCAGCATGGAAAAATATTGTTACAGACATCTTTATATCATGGTGCACAAGGCACAAAGTGCTGTCTATTGCTGTGGACTCTGGGGTAATGTTGCGATTGTCTGTAAGCATGTTGCTAACTACGTTGAAGCAGGAAAACAGATATGATTATGTGGCTAGCTGGATCCATGACATGGCTCGGCAACTGTGTAGCGTCATCTCGACCCGATCCGCTGTACTTTCATGAATTTTACTCCGAAATTCAGGCTGGATACCGTTTACCCTGAGAGCTATGACACAGTTCTTCAGTCCCTCCATACGAATCCTAGGATCATGTCTTCAAGAAGACCAAGATAACTTACTCTTCAGTCTTTTCAACTTCACCTTAATTATCCTCTGTTCTTATTCAGTATTAAATAACACGTAAAATTAGTAAAGAGTCTTTAAATATTGTCACGTGTTAGTGACTAGACACGGAATTTGGATTTATTGAATGCTTGTAACTCGTAAATTACAAAAGACCGAAGTATTTTATTACTAGGCGGCCTGGAGCCCCTAAATCGCAGGCCTAACTGGCGTATTAAATTCTCGTGAATTTTCAGAACGATCTTAGGCGAATTATATACCATCTCAGGCTAATTATGCACCATATCAGGTGAGTTATGTAATATCTCAGGCGAATTATGCACCATCTCAGGCGAATTATTCACCATCTCAGGCAAATTATTTACCATCTCAGGCAAATTATTTGCCATCTCAGGCGAGTTATTCACCATCTCAGGCAAATTATTTACTTTCTCAGGAGAATTATGCACCATCTCAGGCGAATTGTGCACCATCTCAGGCGAATTGTTCATCTTCTCAGGCGAATTATGCACCATCTCAGGCGAATTATTTACCATCTCAGGCGAATTATTTACCACCTCAGGCGAATTATTCACCATCTCAGGCAAATTATTTACCTTCTCAGGCGAGTTATTCACCATCTCAGGCAAATTATTTACTTTCTCAGGCGAATTATGCACCATCTCAGGCGAATTGTTCATCTTCTCAGGCGAATTATGCACCATCTCAGGCGAATCATTTACCTTCTCAGGCGAATTATGCACCATCTCAGGTGAATTATTTACCATCTCAGGCGAATTATTTACCACCTCAGGCGAATTAGTCACCATCTCAGGCAAATTATTTACAATCTCAGGCGAATTATTCACAATCTCAGGCAAATTATTTACCATCCCAGGCAAATTATTTANCTCAGGAGAATTATGCACCATCTCAGGCGAATTGTGCACCATCTCAGGCGAATTGTTCATCTTCTCAGGCGAATTATGCACCATCTCAGGCGAATTATTTACCATCTCAGGCGAATTATTTACCACCTCAGGCGAATTATTCACCATCTCAGGCAAATTATTTACCTTCTCAGGCGAGTTATTCACCATCTCAGGCAAATTATTTACTTTCTCAGGCGAATTATGCATCGTCTCAGGCGAATCATTTACCTTCTCAGGCGAATTATGCGCCATCTCAGGCGAATTATTTACCACCTCAGGCGAATTATTCATCATCTCAGGCAAATTATTTACTTTCTCAGGCGAATTATGCACCGTCTCAGGCGAATCATTTACCTTCTCAGGCGAATCATTTACCTTCTCAGGCGAATTATGCGCCATCTCAGGCGAATTATGCACCATCTCAGGCGAATTGTGCACCATCTCAGGCGAATTGTTCATCTTCTGAGGCGAATTATGCACCATCTGAGGAGAATTATGCACTATCTCAGGCGAAGTGTTCATCTTCTCAGGCGAATTATGCACCATCTCAGGCGAATCATTTACCTTCTCAGGCGAATCATTTACCTTCTCAGGCGAATTACACCATCTCAGGCGAATTATTTGCCATTTCCTGAAAATATCCAAGTCCTAACACTGAAACATAAGCACAGAAGTTATGAAAGGTTTGAGTTTCTCTAAATGACCATTAGAGTAACCAGCAAAGCTATCAGATGGCCAAGCTCGATGGCAGCAGGTAGATACAGTTTATATAGACACTCTGTGAAGGAGGGAATGTATTTTGTATCTTCTCGGAATTCGAACACTGACCTGAAGAAGAACAAATCTTTCCCAGCTGACGTGCTAGACCTCGCTGGGAGTTACATCGTCACTGCACTGTTCGGATTACTAACTGAGGAACCTTTCTCTGAGGATACTTACGTGCTGTTAGAAATGCAGGTCACACAAGCACTGCTCTGGAAACACTCTTTGGGCGTCTCTTGTTTAGTTATGAAACAAATGTCTTGTCTCGTCGTTAAAAAGACTGAAACTGAATTTTTATCAAGTGTCTATGGTGAATTAGCGCTATCGAAATATTACACTTTCTCTAAGATTTGAAAGGCTCTAGTTTCGGTGAGAATGTGTTTTCTTTTGTTATATTTAACGTAAAACTTCAACAAGGAAAACTCGACACAGTATGCAATAAAATATGGAACATTAGTAGAACAGCTCATGCAGGAAACCAAGGAATACACCACACAGACAGCCAGATTAACCGCACAACTTCAGCTTAAAGACAGTAACAAATCACATCCGTTAGCGCACTCTCCACAGGACGAATTTGCCAAGGCAACGACTACCTGCTCCAATCTAAGCACCACAAACGTCGCCACGTCAGCTTCTACTAACACACAATTTTAATCCCAATTTTTACATCTCATTTATGTCACGTAGTGCTTAAGGCACTATGCTACAAGTCGGAAGGTCGCGGGTTCAAATACCGATGAGGTCATTGAATTTTTTTCAGTTGACCTAATCATTCCGGCCGCGCTATGGCCCTGGGGTTCACTCAGCCTCTAACAGAAATGAGTACCAGGAATTAAATAAATAATTTTCCTGGGGAGTAAAGCGCGGCCGGCGCCTAGGGCTGACAACCTTACCGCCATCTTTGAGCCGATTGTCTAGATAATGTGGGACCCTCAACGTCTCACAACCCTGTGGGCCTTCACGGACTGTTACAGGGATAGCTTTACTTTTACTTTTACAAGTGTAACATACATTTTAGTACTTCTATAGAATTCTGACGATGGTGTATAACAGTCAGAATTACTGGATTTTTTGGACTTTTTCCATCGTCCGATGTTCTAGAGAACAGAAAATACGACGTTTCGGAAACTGGATCTGTTTCCGTCCTCAAGTGAGGGGGGAAGACACCTACTCAGTCGGGCCCCATAGAAGGAGCTAACCGCAATCACTGAACTTAGCTCTTTCTTAGGGGTCCAACTGAGTAGGTGTCTTCCCCACTCACTTGAGGACGGAAAGAGATCCAGTTTCCGAAAAGTCATGTTTTCTATTTTCTAGAATACCGGGCGATGGAAGAAGTCCAAAAACCCACTAAAATCCTGAATTTTAATACTTGTAGAGACTTCATTTCATAGCAAGAAGTTCTGCGAAGAACAAGAACTGTTGCATAATTTCCTTTCATACGACACGGACAGCATAGAAAAAGACGCGTCAAACATTTCTTCTATTGTTGCGCGTGTATTGGTTGCCGCGGTAACGATCAGTTCTGGCCGAAATATGGTTTGGAAATTATCTTAGAGATAAAGATACGTGGCACCAAGAAAAGTAGTTGTGTTTATTGTCAAAGAAGGTGAAACACAGGTTTCACTGGTAATCATAAACAGATAAGCTTGCCTGGAAGGTAAAAAAAGTAAAGCTATCCCTGTAAACGGCCGTGGAGGCGCATAGGGTTGTGAGACGTCGAGGCTCCCAGACAGTCTGTTCACAGATGGCGGTGAGGTTGTCAGCCTTACGCGCCGGCCGCCCTTTACCCCCAAGGAAGATTCTTGGTACTCATTTCTCTTAGAGGCTGAGTCGACGCCAGGCGTGTATTGAGGCTGGAAGGATTAGGTCAATCGAAAAATCCAATGAACTCATCAGTAATCGAACCCGCGATCTTCCGGCTTGTAGCATAGTGTCTAGAGTGTCTGGAAACGTAACCTAAACCTAATCTTCTTTAGCAACGTAGACCGAAGAGTAAAAGATACCAGGGACTTTAGGCGAAGACATGGAAGCGATAGACTTAGTCCTTGTAACGGAGGCAGGCCAAGATACCGGTCGTGGGCTTCTGAAGACACAACACATGGCTACGTTAACCGTGTACATGTTGAATATTTTTTCTTGGAAAAGATTAGTCAAGAATAGAAACCAGGATCTTCTGAATGTGAATAAGCGGTGTAACCTTGCGAACTAACGTTGCCGAGACCAACGAAGGATTCAGATTCTTAGTGAGGGGATTTGGAAGAAGTGTGCCCTCCAAATAGTGGAGTCCTGTTGTAGTTATCTTTGTAACGTACCGCGTCGAGGCGGAGCACCACTTCGAGTCCCGCTGTATCCACAGTGTCGCACAGAGGTCGGTATCTGGAGGGGCACTGACGGCGGAAGGCGTCCACCTGTAGGCGCAGGTCGGCCAGACGCTCCTGACTTTCGGCGATGAGCTCACCCGTTTCGGCGCATGATGTCAGTAACGCCTCCACTCTCTCTGACATGGCTCTCGCGTCTGCAAAAATAGTTTTGCACACCCCTATCTCGATTGCATGTTGAAATTGTTAAACGGGTAGTGGCAGAAGCAGGAATTGTTCCATTGAACCCTGGGGCTGAAATAGAAGTCTGGGCTACAATTGCACGCGGGTACCCATACAGAAATTGCAAATAATGACCCTTGCTATTTGCTTATTTACCTTCTCGCGACTTTCCACATCACTTGGGCCTACATCCATTAAATGACCTAAGGACTTCAAGGGAAGACTTGGGGGGGGGCAGTATTTTAGTTCCATCGTGATCCTTAATCTCTCATTCCTACAACTTATATTCTAAAATTAGCAGAAACACCCTCTCAGGTTTTTCTTCGCGTGGTGAGTAACTATCAGCTTAAGGGCCGCGCCATAGCTCAAGCAGTTAGTCCCTGGCTTCACACTGCGGCGGCTGGTCTTCGATTCCAAGTCAAATCTTGTGGGATTTGTGGTGGACAAAGTGGCGCTCCAGCAGGTTTTCTCCGAGTACTTCGGTTTCCCTTGCCAATTCTCATTCCACCGACTGCTTAATACCCATCATCTATCATCCGGGGCTGGTACAATAGGGCAGTTAGTGGCCGACGTGCCAAATGGACTCACCCCACCTCAAGAAACTCTTAGCTCTTCAGGGAAGTCCATGCCTGGAACTGCCATGACATAAATTAGATTATTTATTGGAGTTTGATCTGACCTGTACTGACATCTATGAGTGCTTCCAGTGCTACATCTACCCCGGTCTCCATGGCCAACTCTTCTTGTATAGGGCGACCAAGAAGTTCTTCCACGTCTGTGTGAGAGAGAGAGAAAAACAGCAATATCTCAACTTGAATTGTCAGCGGCTGTTCACTGAGTTTCAATCAAATATATACAAGATTTTTTTTTTCGGAAAATCAAGAAGGAGAGACCACTTGGAAGACCTACGCTTTAACGAGAGTTTAATATTAAACTGGATATTAAATAATTAGATTGTGTATTGGCTGGATTAAACTGGTTCAAGGTATGATCCGATGGCGGCTTTTGTGAACACAGTGATGAGACTTTGGGTTCCTTAAGAGGCAGGGAATTTATTGACATGCGGACTGACTTTCTAGATCTGAAAGTTTCTCAGGAAGAACTCTGCAATATGGACTGTCGTAATGTCTACTTGGCATTGAAATTGGAGAAGGGGTTTACTAAATGAAGAGTTATATCCTCAGGAATATAAAACCGTGTAGTCCGTTAAAAATGAACTGACGTTTTTGAGGAACATATCGCCTCCATCTTGAGGATCGCAGAACAAGCAAAGCTCTGCTTGCCACCTGCTTCATGCTGGTTTCTTGCTTGACTTGTTCTTGGATCCTACAAATGGACTACACAGTGTTATACCCCAGGAGATAGAACTCATCATAATCGCCGCTGGGAGATCCTCAGCTCCTGTGGGGTTACCGAGTGTGGGATTGTCGATGCTAGAAGAGACAACCTCGTGGTAAACTTCTATAATGAACATTTATTATTTCTAGAATGAATATACGGTCTAACCGCTCACTTCGTTGGGCCCTTACGTTGGTTGCCATTTTGTAACCGTCCTCCTTGCTCCTACGTTGTGCTCCACTTATAACCGTCCTCCCTCTTCTCGTGGATGTCGAGAAGTTAGGTGGGAATGGAGGAGAATTATGGTTGTTGGTGCTGGTAGGCGAGAGTTCGCTTCCTGTAGGCTCAGGCAGGGCAGGAAGAACCTTACGCTACAATCACAAACACCACTTCCGACTTTTGCACTTAGTAATTATTTAATTCACTTCCGTTCACCGAATACAACGGAAACTCTAATGTTTACAGTTAATTGTATTTAACATGTAATACTTTCTTTTCTGAAGGAACGTAGTTGTAAATTTGAGACTGACTTCGCCGAAAGTTGGATGAAGACTCCTTGAAGTGGAATGTCCTCTCTCTGAATCCTGAGGTCCACGAACCACAGACTCCAAGAGAAGTCCACCCTCCACTTTTGCCATTGGTTAAGTTTTCAAACTAGGAGGTTCCATAAATGTGTTAATTTCCAATCATGTTGCTTTGCCATGTGACTCTGGCAGTTGCTGACCTGACGCTAAGGTTGACAGAGACTTCATGCATTACGATCAGGGGATGAGGCTCCGGCCCTCCCACTTCTAAGTTATAGCTGTTCCAAGCTGTCAGCTCTCAAATTCTCAAAGCCTTTCCGACTTTGCTGAAACTGCCAGAATTCCAGGAAAGTACCAGATGTTACTTCCTGTCCACATAGCAAAACTTGAACTATGTCCCTTCTGCGTGTAAGAGCTGGCTATCTGCCGGATCTCTTTGTATTTACGTGATATTAACTTAATATAGATTTAATTAATACAAAATAGTCCACCAATTAGAATGAACGGTTACAACGGAATACCTTCTAACAACAACTACTACGTAGGGAAGTAAAAAATTATCCGCACTCTTGTTTTTCCAATCCATATACACAAAAGTAGGGGTTGAACAAGTACTTCATTTTTCTACATAGTCTCCTCCCTTTTCGATTCACTTGGTCCAGCGGTCCACAAGCTTGCGTATTCCCTCCACGAAGAAGGTTTCGGTTGGTCGCGCAACCATTTATGCACCGCTTCCCCCACTTCTTTGTCCGTAGAAAATCAAAAAACTTCGTAAAGCATCTTTGAGCGGTCCAAAGAGATGATAGTCGGAAAGGGCGAGATCTGGGCTGTAGGCAGGGTGTTCCAGCACCTCGAAACTCAAATGGTTAATGGTTTCAACGGTCTCGCCGTCCTTGTGTGAGTGTTCATTGTCATGCAACAACAACACTTTCTTCGACAATAGGCCTCGGCGTTTGGTGGGAATCGCTGGCTTCAGATTGTTGGCCAGCAAATCACTGTATCTTGCACTGTTGATCATACACCCCTTTTCCATGTAGTCTTTCAGCATAGTCTCTTTTGAGTCCCAAAAAAACGGTTAGCATCACCTTTCCCACGAAAGATTGAGTCTTGAATTACATCTTCGTTTGCGATCCCGGCTGTTTCCACGCCATTCTCTGGCTTTTGGATTCTGGCTCATAGTGATGAACCCACATATGAATTTCAGCCCCTGACACACCTTCCAATCAGGGAAATCGGATCACTGTTCTTTGTTAATCATTGGTGCAGACTGCTAGCTGAGCGGCCATGTTTACACTGTCACAGCATCAAGGAAAATGATGCCATCACGTGACCACAGTAGTACCAGCTCTAAGCATGCATGCGCAGAAGGCAGTGTGACAATCCTAAAGATGTGTTATGGCGAGAGTGCGTATAATTTCGGATTTTCCTTCGTAAAATACACTACCGATTTTCCAATGTGTTCTGCATTCGTTAGTCGTTGCTTAGTAGCGCTTCGGACGATGGAAATTCCTCGGCATCTATACTCTTTCTCGTTATATTGTTTTGCTCCCGATTGGTCCACGCGGTGCAACTTAGGCGCTGACCGGAAAGGAGTCACCGGCTTCTACATTTCCGGTAATGTTTCCTACCCAATCCGTTTCCACGGGAACTTGATTAATGAGCCGTTGTGTAGCAGCGGATGGTTCCTAGACTGCAATTGACGACTAGCGTGCGGAGGAGGTCCGCCTGTTTACACGTTGTCGCTAACGGCGCGCGGACCGCACTGATCGGCCGGCGCATGAATTAATGCGGTTGGCCTATATACAGTTCAAGTGTGCGCTTAATACTGGTAATGCGCGTGCCTTAATAACCAGGCTTTTATTCTCTAACGAGGTTTTATTAGGGTTTTTGCATTCAGATATTCATACAAGTTTTTTTAATTTTGATTAGTGGGGGGTGGAGTCCAACTGTGTCCACTCGGCACGGCGGCCACTAATTGGCCTATTGTAGCCCGACCCGGGTGATTATGATGATAGGGAATTTGGTGGAATGAAGATTGGCAGGGGAAACCGAAGTACTCGGAGAAAAGCCGCCCAGCGCAACTTTGTCCATCACAAATCCCACTTGACCAGACCCAGGATCGAACACGGGCCACCACGGTGGGAAGCCAGCGACTAACAGCGGCCCCTTCATACAATTTACGCAAAACCATTATTTGATGGGTTAATTTTTTTTTTCGATATTACAAAAGCAGTGTATATTACATTTGTTTGTTTAGTTTACTTCAAACACGAAAATTCCAATACAAATATGGAACATTTCAATTCAGGTATATGCTACAAGCCGGAAGGTCGCGGGTTCAAGTCTCGATGAGGTCATTGGATTTCTTCAGTTAACATAATCCTTCCAGCCGCACTAGGCCCTGGGGTTTACTCAGTCTCTAACAGAAATGAGTACCAGGAATTAATTAAAATAATTTTCCTAAGGAGTAAAGCGCGGCCGGCGCGTAAGGCTGACAACCTTACCGCCATCTTTGAGCCAACTGTCTAGATAATGTGGGACCCTCAACGTCTCACAACCCTATGGGCCTCCACGGCCTGTTGCAGGGATAGCTTTACTTTTACTTCACTTTACCATAAAGGACGCCCAGGAATCTATAGTTTTTGCCTTAGATTCACAGTGGTTTATTCAATAATATCTGAAGTGGAGCATAAAATATCAGCTGCGGTGCTAACTCGATTTTTATATGGTGTCCTACAGCGCTTTCCTCCCTGTGTGCTAATAAAGGAACAAAAGACGAGCGATGGAAGTAAAGAAATAAAATGGCTGCTGCAGTTCGTGCAGTAACTTAATGAAGCTCATGCTGTGTGATATAGGAATTTCGCTTACCTCTGGTTGATCATTTTCAAACTTCAAGAGGGAAATTTATTCAGTTTTATTTGTATCTGATTTCTAAAGACTTGTGTGAAATGATATGTACACGTATAAAAGAGATAACCAGCCATCTCTAAAATTAAAGCAAGACGAAAATCATATTAATCATTTTTATTCCTGCAGCTTTTTGTTTAGTACGGAAACACGTATGGCCATGCATTGCTTAATCGGATCCCCTTTGATACACAGTCTCATGTTCATGTTTCATGTTATTTTGAAGAAAAAAGAGATGCCGTTTGCATATTTTGGGAATATCATAAGCAGATTAATACAGAAACAGTAACTGCATGTAGACTTAAGCTTGGGTTTCCTCGGGTAGCGGTACCGTAATCAAGCGGCCGTAATATGACGGTGAATGACCATGTTCCTTTGTTTCCATGGCAACGTCTTAGTGACGTCATTCACCGTCATATTACGGCCGCTTGATTACGGTACCGCTACCCGAGGAAACTCAAGCTTTAGTCGGCGTAATCCAGACGTTGTACCTGTAGGCCTCTCTCTGCTATAGGAACATAACATCTGTAAAGTCGACTAGGCTATATGGCGTCATACCTCAGAAGACAGCAGTCTTCAAACCAGGAATCAATCATTTGCCCAGCAGTTTAAAGGAAAGGTTCAGGACTAGAAGACAACAGCAACAACAATAACAATGACAAAGAAGACATGAAAAAATACAGAGTTAGGTAAAAGCGGGAATAGGAGGCCACAGTGAGGTTACTCCAGTAATTTGTTTGCTACTCACTATCCAGATCACTGCTGATGGCGTCCACCGTGTGGTCCAGAGATCTCGTGACAACAAACCGAAGTTGACTGTGTGAGTTGCGCAGGAAAGTCGTTACGTCATTGAGGGCCATGTGAACGACGTTTGGTGTCTGGTTTACTGCCCGTGACATCTGCTCATTCGTCACAAACATTGTTACAATGCCGACCCTGCGAAAGCGTGGACAGGTGCTTGATGAAATGCTCACAACCCAAACCATCAATTATATTTGGTCGAAAGATAGTGTGGGGGCTGAACAGAGGGATTGGGATGCGCGGCGCTTGGGCCAGTATGGCCTATTCCATATTTATTCATTATCATGAATTGTGAATAGGAGGAAAATCGTGATATATTTTGTGGTACTGTATGAGGTTTAAGATTTTAACAGCGGCCTCTTATGAAAACGGAGTAGGTAGGATGTGGTTCTATGCACTCGTCAACATACAGATTGGATACTATGAAGGAAACCTAGGCGACGTAAGTACTTCCCTGCCTTGTTCTTCTGGCGAAAAATTAAGGTATGGCCGTACTCACACAAGAAGCACCAGGATGAGTTGCACTGCAAGCACCAGAGAGCATCTCCGGCAGTTGGCAGCACAGTCGCTGGATGTGTCAACGGAAGATTCGTCTGTCCACCCGGTGTTTCTAGTGGCGAACAGCAGACGGCAACAGGCGTGGATTAGTAGCACACAGGGCATTGCGAGTGCCAGCACAGCTCCAACAGCAAGACACACAATGAACAGCACCTCCACCTGTAGGGACTGAACAGTGTCGCATCTTGCGCTGTCTTATGAGCTGCGTTTGTATGCTTTGGAGTGGCTGGATTCAAGTGAATACGTGTGTAAAGAGATGTGTTCCAGTATGGAATGCTTACAGTTTCCAATCGCGTTTTTGCTATTTAGCCCAGAGGTCCGGGTTCGATTCATGGCTCTACCAGATTTTCTGTGAAGTAGTGGTTCTGGAACAGGGTCCACTCAGCCTCGTGATGATAATTGAAGAGCTATTTCAGGGAAATAGCGGCTCCGGTCTAGAAAACCGAAATTAACGGCCTTGGGGATTCGTTGCGCTGACCACGCAACAACCTCTATCAGCCAAAGTTGGCACTAACCTCGCCGACAAGCGGCGGTCAAGGCGAGATCATTTCAATATGATATTAAAACGGAATTAAGATTAAAAAAAGTTAAAATTTTAATTAAGCACTATGCCATGAAGACATATGGTTGAGTGGAGGTGAAGCTTCATCCATTCTTGGCCTCCGCATTGGAGGTGGTTGGTCAGCTTCACGTCCCGGACGTTGTAAAACCGGGAAAATTGTCCCCGGTACCCATTGGATATGAGGCTTGGTGGGCCCCAAAAGGGGTCCGGACTTTGTGGAGAAGAGAACTGAATTAAGAGTTGAATCAGTAATTCAAAAAGTAACAAAATCGAGAGCGAACACGTAGGAAGAATACCGGAGGAATCAATAAAAAAAAAAGTCAACTAAGTGGATACAGTTTCATTGGCCTCCCTAGGGGAGAATTGGTGGAAACGTGAGACCGGAACAGGCTCAGCATAATGCGCGAAAGAAGAGGAAGAAGGAGGAGACTGTAGAAATGTGAGCTAGATGGAGTGACTCAGGATCTGTTCCAGTGGCGAGCCTTGGTGATATCTGACCAGAAGTTTAGCTGATGCAGTATTTTAAATACGACTTAGGCAAATAAAAGTTAATGTAGATTATTCCTTACCTGACTTATAAGTTCGCCCACCGATACGTGATTCCAAAGGGCATCTCGCAAAACTTCTGGAAACATAAATGCACTCTTAAGTTTTTCATGTTCAGTGACTAGAAAGTAGGCCTCTTGAACATTACGCAGGAAATGTCCTCGAATGTGTTTGATCATAATGCATAAGTGCCCAAAGACATGGGAAAACTACATATAACCTGAACTAGCATGAGGCCTTGGCCTTCCTTGTTACTGTGTTACTGGAATTTACTAAATTCTCTTTCAGAATATTTCTTGTAAGGCCTCTAATGTTATAGAACAATAGTCGTGAAGTGAGTTGGATTCGAACCCGCGGTCCTAATGATTTATCAGCCTTAGTACATGAAGTCACCAGCTTCACCTCACATGGTTTCAACAGAAAAATAAATTTAAATTGATTATCTTTCCGCTTTGAGTAAGATTTGTCGTGATTTTTCTGTGTGACTCTCAAAACACATGTGGGATTAGTTTCTTTAAATATGTCTGGACTATTTTCAGCGCCAGTATTCCCCATTCAATATATACTGCGTAATATGTACTTCATCTTTTGATAGTATTTTTTTAATAAACCGAGAAAGAAAGAAAGATTAATTGGTATGACTCGGTTACCAGAATCTCGTTTGTACAAGCCTGGTGCAAAGTGTGAAGGCGAGATCTACCCTTTTCACGCACATCCCATTCTCTTCTTACCTACTGGGAAGTCGTAGGGTTGTATCCAGGAGAGGAAACTGCTAATGTAGCTGAAGACGAAGAGCCCTTCCGACAATCCTAGCTCCTGGATGTGCAGCTCCTCCCCTTCCGGCACGTCTGGAAACTTCAGTACGGGCGCAGATGCCATCCTGGGATGCTGAAGCGTTGTTGGCTTTATTGCTGAATCTTTCAGCCGCAGAGTCTCGGAACGGAGGGCAACTGGATTCGTTTCAGGATTACAGTCTTTAAACACAGTTTGATTGCAGAACGTTGCATTATCTCGAGCTGGTACCTTCCATGAAGCAATGTTGTGGCCGTGCTCGTTATTCTGACGTTTGTTTACTGTTTCATTGATAGTGCTGTTAATTTTGGAAAATAAAACACTTGTTTGTTTACTTGATATGTGTCCCGGTACATCTGCAAGTGCGTTACCACCATCAGCTTCAATTGCAGAATTCTGAACCTTCAATCGCAGCAATGGTATACTCTTTTTTGTTTGTTTCGAAATTTTCAACGTCCCTTCTTCAGACGTTTCTGTGGAAAAAATCGTAGTTATTTCGACCACTGTCAATACTTCTTGAGAATTAACTGGTTTTAGTGATTTTATAAAATTCTTGCCTCCCTTCGACAAAATCTTTTTCGTTTCACTCGACATTACACTACTGTTAATTCCCTCAAATACTGTAAATGTACCCCTTTTCTCTTCTTGTCCCACATCTGAATCCACCTTTTCATCCTTTTCTGCGGTGGTAGACACGTTGACGGGTGTTGAGCTGGAATAATTGGTCCCACCTTTCGTCTCTAAGATTTCCCTCAGACTCTTATCAATATTATCGGACACACACATCTCACATTCCTTATCACTATTCGACGATAACATCATGGAATCTGTTAGTGCCATTTTGTCGACTTCGTTATCGATATCTGGATGTTCAGATGACACTGGTATCTGTGCAGAATAAGACCTAGTTTCGTATGCAGACAAAAAGGAGTCTCCAGGAAGACTTAGGCCACCTGAAGATGTTGATGCCTTCATCACATCTTCATACTGTCTGCTGACGTTTGCTGACGCGTCATGACATCTCATAGTTGCCATGACAAATATAAGTATATACATCATGGACCGTTATTATTGAGGATTAATTATATATATAATTGAACACAATACCAATTTAAATATTCAGGAAGAGTTACAATGACACTACGAAGAGAAATAAATGAAAATAGTCTATACAGAGATTCTTACGTTTATGGAAAATAAAATCCATGTCTATAACGCATTTTTCTTAAGGATTATGTTTCAAAACTTTGAAATGAATTAGGAAATTTGGTTCACTATCCCACAAACACAATTCAGAGTTAATCTGGGAAGATGAATTGAGTAAAAGTCTAATAAAATACTTTTTACATATCAAAGATCACAACACATCAATATATTGTTCAACGTATTTGGTTTGACGAATTCTACCTGATAAATTCCACACGAAAATATAGTACCTTATTCCATTTCGAACCTTCTTCTGTAACACCTTCCTTCGTAACTGACGGGCCTGTACCTTGTAAGGCTTCAGACTAGCTGCTTTCCAAATCTACATACCAGTTGTCTGGGAAACCATATAACATAGCATTCTTTGATTTTTTCTTTTCCCTACAGAAAAAGTTTAGGATCCTTACATCCAAGCTTGTATTATATTGACTATAGTAGACAATGAAAAACTCCTTCGAAAAGTAACAATGTGTTCTCGCTTTTAAGTGAAATAGCGTCATGATATGCTCTAGGATTTACAAATTCTTTACAGTTTCAGATCAAGCCTATTGTGGAAGAGATGGCTATACCCTGAAGTGTACAGAAACGAAATTTGTATCCTCATATCTTCAGAATTTTCGGACATAGACTTTAAAGCATGATATATTGTAGGCGCTATTTAATAATTAAGTGTTTGTTTTCCAATTGTAATATTCCTAAGGACGTGTCTTAGCTAATGAGATGTTACGAGCATTTGGTTCGGTGCCGGTTGAATTCATGTGAGACCCCCGGTGGACGAAATGGCAACTGAACAAACATCTCTCCGAGTTTCTTCAGTCGAGGTGCAAGGGCCAAGAAGGCCCACCCCTTTTACATTCATTCTTCGCTCATCTCCATGTAATCATTCTGCCACTGTTCCATACTTCTTCAACACCGAGCCGGGTAGCTCAATGGGTATAGCGACTGGCTACGGGCTGGACGACCGAGGGGTCGGGAGTTAGAGTCCCGGTGGGGGCAAGAATTTTCATTTCTCCATGTCATCCAGACCGGCTCTGGGCCCCACCCAACCTCCTATCCAATGGATACCGGGGGATCTTTCCCCGGGTTTAAAGCGGCCGGGGCGTGAAGCTGACCACTCACCTCCAAGTAGTGCCGAGTTCAAGAAAGCGTGGGTCTATTCACCTACTCCCCGATACGTCTTTATGGTATTGTTAAGCACAGGAACAACCTTACCCTTGCCCTGATCAGGCATTCGGGACTTCATCTCTTAGGCAGACCATGGGTCATCATGGAGAAAGAAAATTAAGATCATTTATATTTCCGTCTAAACAGATTACGAACTATATGCATCATCATCATCATCATCGTCGTCGTCGTCGTCGTCGTGGTCATCATCATCATCATCAACATCATCATCATGGTTGGCAAAACGGAACTCTTTGGCTCATGGCTTCCCTCAGAAGATCCGTCAGATTGCGTCCGGTTCTTATTTCTGTGGATTTCGCAACAATATGTCCAACCTCCAACGTGACTGCTAAATTGCTGCTGGCCCCCGCCAGCACAGTGATTCTTGGTTTCGAGTCCCACGGAACCCATGACCATATTTCACTGTCTGGTGGCTCTCGGCTGCCAGACCTGGAGAATGAAGTCTCTGTATTTATGTTGCCCAGTGACAGTGTGGCCCAGTTATGCCCCCAGGCACTGAGTTACCTTTTTATCGCCTTCTACAGCTCGCAGGGCTATGGTGCAGGTATTCTAATCCGCCTCAGTACGAGGAACTCTATTCACCATCATCATTATGATAATTGCAGAACATCCCTTTTTGAGATACAGCCTTCCGCAGAATATTCTGCCAAAGTTGCCATTCCTGGGAATTAGACCTTCCGGTTTTCATTTCTTTCGATTTCGCAACAGTATTTTTTTTTTTTACACAGCGACGTCGTCAGCCTTGCGTCCGACCCCCAACCTGGAGGACCAGGTCTCTGTATTTATTTCCTCCAGTGACAGGGAGGATCGGTTATATCCCCAGGCACCGGATTCCGTTTTCGTCGCCTTCTTCGACTCCCGGGGCTACGGTGGAGGTATTCCAACCGGCCTCCACGTGGAGAGCTATATTCTCCTCCGCGATCTGAATAAGCATTAATGACCTCTCCCGCAGGGAGTTCATACATGGCATTATTCTGCGTACTTTGTTCTTCTGCTTCCCCTTCCTCCCCCTCTCACGTTTTCATTCAATGAGTTCTGCGCTTTATTCACAGTTCGTAAACAGGGGAATCAAATTACGAAGATGAAAATTCCCAAAAAGCGAAAATAGCAAAGCATTCTATTGGTTGATATTTTCATATGATATCTGCAAAAATGTCAATAAAATGAACACATAATAGGGAGGATACGCCGTTTTTTATATTCGTTTCCATGTTTAATAACCGGGAATCTAGTTCGATTTCATTTAGTAGACCTGTAGTACAGGACACCACTAAATATTTTACATATTTCACCAGACAGAGTTCCTGGCTACAGATCCAGGGGTTCCGGGTTCGATTCCCGGCACTATAATATTTTGTGAGAAGTAGTTGGTCTGGAACAAGGTTCACTCAACCTCGTGAGGATAATTGAGGAGCTACTTGAACGGAAAAGTAGCGACTCCGGTCTAGAAAACCGAGATTAACGGCCGTGGGAACCCTTTGCGCTGACCACGCGACACCCTCTATCCGCAAAAGTTGACACTAACTTCGCCGACAAGCGGCGGTCGCTCGGTCGGTATAGTTCGCTTGCGCACTAAAGCCACGGAGTTAGAGTTATTAAATGAAGCATAAAGCGATGAGTGCGGATTGTAGCAAGAATTGGTGAGATGAGAATTGTGTGCAAAATTTTGATCTGAGCCCCTGAAAGAAAGAAACCACTCAGAAAGTCTAAACCAGGACTACAAAATAGCATTAATATGGAAGTAGTTCTTGAGGATGTTGGCCGGACTCATCAGGCTTAGGATAGGGACCAGGTTTGGGCGCTTATGATTGCGGTAATCAAACTTTGAGTTCTATGAAAGCCAGATTTTTTGACCAGTTGAGCGACTGTTGGTTTCACGAGAAAAAAATTGCTTCATTTGGCTAGTTAACTGTGAAGGCCGTGCCATAGCTCAGGCGGTCAGTCGCCGGCTTCCCAGCACAACGGCCCGGGTTCGATCTTAGGTCAAGTGATGAGGCATTTTTGATGAAGAAAGTGACATTTTGGCAGGTTTCCTCGCAGTATTTCGGTTTCACATACCTATTATAATTCCACCAAATTCTGCGCGCTCCTTTATCATCCGGGGCGGGTACAACAGGCCAATTAGTGGCCGACGTACCAAGTGGACTCAGTCTCACTCTCAACCAACGAAACAAAACAAAACAAAAAAACTTAAGTGTGAATGCTGAATTACCAGGACTTAAGGAAGAAACATTGGCAGTGTGTTGACAGGGGTGCAGGTACTTCCTCGCGGATCTAACTCGCTCACCGTGACGCTGTGTGTGAGCGGAGCGTTCATTTATGACCCAGTTGATACGCGGTTTGCTAATTGAGCTCGTTTCTATGGCCACGGAGAGACAATTTGAGCATGACACTCAGAAAATCCATGCTGTCTCGTCTTTGTTACGTCATGGTAAAAGACACGTTATGACATATTAGTCTTCGCTTGGTGTCGCCTGTCTAGGTAACAAGCAAAGATGTCCGTCTGATTAAACTGCAAAACCACTACATTTCCGAGTTCTCTGAATTTAGAAACAGCTATTAAATAAGTTAGAGCAGATTTATAAATTGTGGTGCGCGGGCCTCCGATACACCGCACATATTAGTGTTTATAATATTATTACAGGTAACCCCACTGGAAATCAGATTCTGATTGTAAAGGCAAGTAACATTTCCGGTGCTGACTGCTGACTGACTGTGACCCAATTAAATTAGAAGAAAATGAAATATTCGTACTGTGGCTTGAATTAAGTAACTCTACGTATAAAGAATAATACTTCTCGAGAAGCTGACAAATCAAGTAAATCTGGGCCCTTTATGGAAAGCTTAGGTTCATTACTGTGTTCAAGAGTTCGCTACTGGATCCTATCCTAAATCAGAAAAATGTAGTTCACATATTAGTTCATATCTGTTTTAGTATTATACTCAAATCTGTGCCAAGGTTTCGTTGTTGAATTGTTTCGTTCAGGTTTTCCGACTAAATCTTTATACGCATTTATTATTATTATTATTATTAGAGGGGGTGGGATTCCCCATGCACTTAGACCAGTTATTGGTCCATTGTGCGTCCCCCTTTAATTTCTACTGTCGCCATACCCTACCGGTACTGGTGCGTGCTATCAGCTCCGTTCAGCCAACGAGGTCGGCCGTCGGTACCTGATATTTCCCCCATCTACCAGTGGCATTGGAAACTACTTGAGCGGGAAATTGTTGCCTAATTTTGCTCAGAGGTCTCCTAGAGACATGAGGATCTTTTACGTGCCGTAAGTCTACGACACGGGACCCACGGCTCAAAGTCCCTCCCGGAGGACTCGTTCCCTGAATTTTTCCGCCCTTAAAAATTCCACGATCTCCGCCGGGTTTGAACCCGTGTACCTTTTATACGCATTTCTCCCTTCCCCACGCGTGCTACATGTCCTGTCCTCATTCCCTTTAAATTTTTTTCACTCTGATAATGTTTGGTGTAGAGTAGAAATTATGAAGTTCTTCATTATGTAGTTTCTCATATTTTCCTATTAATTCCTCTGTTTGAAATCAAATAATCTCAGTATTCTATATCACACCCTCAGTCACTGTTCCTTCTTCATGGTGAGAACCAAATTTTAGGACGTAAAAATGTTAAGGCG